CAGAGCCAGGCTCTTACCACACCTGGCTCCCCCTCTTTGTACTAACCAAGAAAGTTTGTGTCGAGCAGCTGAAGCCCGGCTACATCCCACACCTGCTTAATACCAATGTTTGGTAAGTTGAGGCTCACTTTCCCGTTGCTCTGTGGTCGAAGCAGTAGAAACGTTCTCAAGTTCAAGGCCACTGCCAGGGCTACCTGTAGAATAAAGGGCAGAGATGGTAAGCCGAGGGTGAGTGGCTCATGGACCAACATCCATATGTTTTAGGGGCACACAGGACGATCCCTGGGGCTCACTGGCCATCTAGTTCTGCCATTCTAGCACGTTCTAAGACAACGAGAAGCTATGCCTCAAAATCTGAGACAAACAGTGCCACCTGAAGAACAATGGCTGAGGCTGTATCCTAGCTTAAACACATGAAACCATAAAGTGTCAGTTGGAATGAATGAAAAAAATATAATAAGCTTTGACCTCAGACCCATGTTACTGTCAGTTTTTCTTGTCCTGCCAGATCTCACCGCCCTTCTCAGCTCCAAATAAACACACAGATGATATATTAGTTATAAAATTATTGGCCGATGACTAGGGCTTCTTACTGGCTAGCTCTGTCTTAAATATTAACTCATTTCTATTAATCTATGTATTTACACGTGGTCTTGGCTTCCTGGAGAATGCCCAGACCTGTTACTCCTTTGTGGTCTACAAGGTACGGTCTCCCTCTGCCTACCTTTCCCAGAATTCTCCTAGTCTCCTAATCTCCTAGTCTGGTAGCCCCACCTATCATTCCTGCCTGGCCACTAACCAAACAGTGTTTTATTTATCAACCATTAAGAGAAACATATATACACAGAAGAACATCCCCCATCAGACCCACTCAGGCTCACCCTCAGCCTCATGAAGGAATAATGTGCTTGGTTAAGTCACCAATTCCCTCCTAAACCTCATCTTCCCTACTTGTAAAATTGAAGACTACAAATTGCACCCCTGGTCTAGCGCTGAAGATTAAATGAGATAATACATATGTCCAATATCTCTATCAAACCTTCTTTCCAATTCCTCAACGCTGGGATGCCCCAGAGTGAGTCCATCCCTCTGAGCTCTTCCCCTCCACCGACACTCACTTCCTGGGTGATTCCACTCAACCTGTCAGGGCTTATATGCCATCTTTCTGCTATCACACTGGGAGAGGCCAGAAGTCCTTTAGCAGTTTAAGGGTTTGTCTGGCTGGAGAGATTCATCCAGTCTACCCCTCAGGCCTTTCTTTTACCTTCTTCAAATTCAGGGTCAGAGAGAAGTGGCACCCAATCGTTCAGGGCTCAGGGACTTTTTACCTTGCCATGGACTACAGCATGTTCTCCATGGAGGATGACTTTCCCTGGAGCGGATACCAGCAGGGCTTCTGACAACATGGCTCTTGGGATTTCTGGAAGGGAATGGCAGAGGGAGGAACAAAGGTTCCCGGGCATTAGTCAGACACATCAGGAAGGGTGGGCTTGGTGGTGCACACCTTTAACCCCAGCACTCAGGAGGCAGAAGCAGGTGGATCTCTGAGTTCAAGGCTAGCCTGGTTTACAGAATGAATTCCAGGACAGCCAGAACCATGTAAAGAAACTGTCTCCAAAAGAAAAAGAAAGGAAGGAAGGAGGGAAGGAAGGAAGGAAGGAAGGAAGGAAGGAAGGAAGGAAGGGGAGGGGGGAGAGAATGCACATTATAACAACGGAACTGCCATCAGGCACTATCACTATGTTCTAGGACAGTGCTGTGAACCAGTCAGGTGGACAATGAAAAACATCTGGGTTCAGACCCCAGCCCTTCCACTCCCCTGTGATGTCACCTTGCACTACAAACGGTCATCAATCTTTTTCCCACACATTAGATAGGGGCAGCACTGGAGAGTGATCCAATGGACTGGGAAGCAGCACTGTCTGTCTGCCAAAATAGCTGCTTGAACTAGATAGCTACTCAGCACTCTCGGCTCTAGCATTTACTGCTAACACTATTAAAGTCAGAAACTGACATGGCCTCCGAGTGCCTGGCTCAGAAGTGGAGAGCTTGCTTACCATGAGGAAGGCCATATCTGACCTTCCATGTCTGAAGGCCATGTCTGATGGGGTGTGGACAAGGGAGGTTTACACAAAATCTTGAAAGAGAAAGAATTCTTCCCGGACATCGAAACCACAGCCAACCAATGTCACACTTATATGCAGGGCTGCAGGACACACCTGTTACGCCCGGTGTTGCGTATTTAAACAAGAACTTCTGCAAGGCAGAGTCCCCCAGAGTGTTTTGCTGGGTTTACGGGCGCATGCATCTTACATTGCTATAACGAATGCAAAGTCACCCGCGTTTAAGGCCTCACGGGAACTCCCTCACACTAACCACCCCACTACAGACTAAGTAGACACCGAGGCCCGGGTTTCTTATGAACTGTCCGATCTGATGTCGCCGACCGCTCCGATCAAGGAAACCAAGGCAGAGGAACGCGGCGCCCGGGACTCCGGTGCTCACGCGCCCAGCCCCGCAGCCCAGGCCTCTCACCTGCCGAGGCCAGCGTCCAGGTGTGCCGATACCGCAGCTGCAGCTCCCGGTCTCCTCCATCCCGGAGAGCTCAGCCCCACGGAGGCGGACGCGTCTTCCCTCTAGCCAATCAGAGCGCTTGAGCCGAGGATCCCTTTACGGATTGGGTCGAACATGGACCAATGGGAACTTCAAACACTCCGGGTTTTCCCCGCCTCGCTCTTTTTGTAATCCAATGGGAAACAATTCTTGGGGAGTGCCCCGCCCTGGTGCGAGTGCCACTGACCAATAGGAAACGGCGATTGGGAGGTGGCGCGGCCGGCTGTGGGGCGGAGCCATCCTCGGGGCTGGACGGGTGCCTGTCCGGGTCAGTCCCGGACGGGTTGTCGCGCGCATGGCCGTGTGGGTGTTTGGGGGCCGCCTTGGCCTGCGCCGTCATCTCGACGTCTGCAGGCTGCTGTGTCCCCGTTTTCAGAGCCGCGGCCCTCAGAGCGAGGAAGACGGGAACAGGTTAGTGTCAGGCTTGGGATGGTAACTCCTAGGGCGGGGGGTGGGGGGATGGTTGTATTGGCTCCGTGGGCACGTCACACCTGATGACGTGATTGCTGCAGTCTGACGTCACCTGGGGCAGCATGGCGTCAGAGACCACTTCTTGGCAATAAGTTCTAACACAGTCATTCCAGCTGTGGTCAGACTAGGCAGGGCATGTCCGTGTGGGCCATTGGCCCTGCGGATTTTTGGGACTAGGACACCAGGCATCATCTAAGAACCGTGAAACTTGTACCTGTGGACTTCCAGGACCTAAGAACCTGCAGACTTCCATAAACTTGTATCAGAGTTTCATGTCCAGTCCTCGAATAACCTTGTGAGGCCACATTTTAGTTGTAAGCTACATGTTTAAGTCAAGGAGTGCGGATGTGTCCCAGTGGTAGAATGTTTGTCTACCATGTCCGAAGGCTGGGGTCCAATTGCAGGACTGTACCTCAACAAAAATCAGAAACAAATTTAAAAAGTGAAAATACCATTTTTTCAAATTCCATTTTGCCAGTGTTTTTGGTTTGTTTTTTGTTTTGTTTTGTTTTAAAGATTTTATTTATTTATTATGCATACAACATTCTGCTTCCATGTATATCTGCACACCAGAAGAGGGCACCAGATCTCATAACGGATAGTTGTGAGCCACCATGTGGTTGCTGGGAATTGAACTCAGGACCTCTGGAAGAGCAGCCACTGCTCTTAACCTCTGAGCCATCTCTCCAGCCCTGTTTTTTGTTTTGTTTGTTCATTTTTTGTGACACTTGAGAACTTAGAAAATGCAAGAGGCTCAGTTTTGTTTTCCCCAAGAAACCCTAACTTTGTGATAGAGGGTTGGAGTTAGGGTAGACAAGGGACAAGAGTTTGGCAAGGGTAGTGGTCCAGGTCCGGCTCACAATAGAACAGTCTTGGGCGCGCATCCCAGCCCTGCCTCCTTCTGGAGACATGGGGAAGTGAATCTTTGTGAGCTATTGTTTCCTCAACAGAGAAGTGAATTAACTATTGTTAATGGCTAACTTTGGGGTTGTGGAAACAGCTGAAGGGTAATTCTAGGAGCTGTGGCTTTGGTCCACTGTGGAGCTAGGGCTACATGGAGTGATCCGTTACTTCCTCTAGCAATATTTGTCAGTCATTTCATTGAGCAATGCACTTCAACAGCTATCATCTAGGTAGAGACATGGACACAAAGCTGAGTTTGCCCACTTGGGGCTTTGTCTGGCAGGGATGGCAAGGGTTAATAAGAGATTGCCATCCAGAAGGGGGATACACGCTACCACTGAGGTTTCAGGCAGCAAGCTGGGCTTCACTCACCAAAGTGCACTCTGTAAGCCATTCCCACTTACCGTGTCTTAATGTCTGTTTCTCATTAGGCCTAAGTCCTCCTCGAAGGCACACAAGATCCCCAAGATTTACACCAAAACGGGAGACAAAGGTATGGTGAGGATAGGTGAGAAATGCAATAAGACACACAGCAGGCATCATTTAAAAGTTCTTCTGGTCCTCGTCGTAGCCACGTGACAGGTCCAAATATACATCATAAATGTGAAGTGACATGCTCAAATGAAATTGTAAAGAGCTGGGTGGTGGTGGCACACGCCTTTAATCCCAGCACTCGGGAGGCAGAGGCAGGCGGGTCTCTGTGAGTTTGAGGCCAGGCTGGTCTACAGAGTGAGTTCCAGGATAAAGTTGTAAAGAAGCTGGGAATAGTACATACTTGTAATCCCAGCACTGGGGAGGCGGAGGTAGGAAAGTCATGAGTTTAAGACTACCTACGGTGATATATCAAGCTCCAGGCCAGTCTAGGTTACATAATGAAACCCTGTCTTGAACCACGTGCATGCCTGTGCCCTGAGAAGGCATCAAATCCTGGAACTAGAGTTACAGATGGTTGTGAGCCACCACATTAGTTCTGGGACCTGAACCTGGGTCCTCTGCAAGAGCAGCAAGTGCTCCTAACCACTGGGCCACCCCTCCAGCTCCTGGCCCTCCCCCAGACAACTCCCCTGCATAATGTGCTGAATATCTTCCCCAGGGTTTTCCAGCACCTTCACAGGAGAACGGAGACCTAAAGATGACCAAGTATTTGAGGCTGTGGGAACTACAGATGAATTAAGTTCAGCTATTGGGTAAGCGCGAGGGGTGGGGGGGGGGGCAAGGATGGGCCTTGATGTAAAGTTAGCCTGGGGCATCGATGACTGTCACCACTTCGACATTTTCCCAAGTGCTGGAGGGTCTTGGAGATTGCCTGGCTGGATCTGTACAAGCTGATAGCACAGGCTGGTCAGCTCCATGGGGCTACAGGCTATAGCTCTGTCCTTCTATCACCATAGGGAGTGACCTTCTTCTCACCAACCCTGGTTCTGTCACTTAGAGCACGCATGTGCCATCAGGGGACAGCTGTGAGGGAAAGAGGAGAGCTCAGGTGATCCGCAGTGCATCTGATGTGGCCCCCTTGTAAGTGTGGGTTTAAAGTGAGCCAAGGGTTAGAAGGCTTACTCAATGATTACTGTCTGCTCCCAGACCAGTCTGCTTATCACACTGAAGGATTATTTCCCGCCCTGACTTCCAGCCATTGCACTCTGGCTGCACCTCTGCCAAATATGGTCTCTGTGGAACCCAGGCTGATGAGACACCAGTCTGGAGCAGAACAGGTCCTGGTGAGGCTTGTGCTGGCTCCTGAAGCTTTCTGTGTGACCCCTCAATCCCATTGCACTGGCCAGAACTAGTCACATGCTGGCACTGTGGGGTGGAAAAGGCCACGTACATGAAGATGACTACATGGGTGCCGTGTTCAGTCACACAGAGGGTGTGGACACTGACAGGCCTGCTCGGCCCTGTGGTCACAGACGTGGGAGAATCAGGAAGCCCTGTGTTCAAATTCTGCACCACCGCTCACTAGCTGTGCAACTTCAGGTCAAACCAGACACCCTTGTTCTAAACCCAGGTTACTGTTCTGCGAAAAGGTCACGGTAGTACTTCCCCTCTGTTCTTATTAATTAATTCAGTAGCTCTGCATCCAGCCCAGGACTGTACTTACACAAGTAATAGTACTGTTTACTCATCTTTATCATTCCCCTGGTGACTTCCAGGCTCATGGCTGCTGGGTGCCAGGAGTGCAGTAGACAGTGATAACAGAGATTGTCCCAGCCATCATAGTCTTTCCTTGTCACTCAGAGGGAGACTGATGTTAGGAGGAGACTGCATGCATGCTTGCCTGTATATGTATGCGCTCACATGTGCATTCTGTCGAGCGTTCTGTTCTGATTGAAAGATGGTTGTTTGCTGTTCACCCTGCTGCTCCTTTTCCTGCCCGATTATCCTCTCTGCCTGGGTGCTTGACCAGAGGACCTGCCAACCCTACACCCGATGTCCTGGTCTTCTGCCTTCCACAAGCATGCAGCGATGGAAGGCAGCAGTGGGCACTGGGAGAGAGGAAGTGTGTGTGGGACAACCTGGGAGCGTAGACAAACTGTTTGCCAGCTGAGTGAGTCCCTGGCAGACGTTCCCTGCCTTCCGCCTTGCAGATCTTGCTGGTGGCCCTCTAAGTTCAGCATGCACCCATGTCCCCTCCCTCACCTCTCCAGGCGTCTGCTCTGCCGCTCTTTACCATCAGTCATCATTTCCTGTATCTCTGCTTATGTCTCTGAGAATTGTCCCTTTGAGATTCTCTCTGCCAGGAATCCTTCTCGTGTGCCACCATCCATTCCCTGCCAGCCTCACAGGGTACAAGAGGGGAGTGCAGCCGTTTTGACCTGTGTCTGGGAAGATTGTTTCCTCTTCTATCATACTTTACCAAGGAACTCCTATTCATCCTTCAAAGCCCCACCTTCTTCCTCTTCACCCCCTTGTCAAGGACAGGTCATGCTTCCCTCATGCTTAGCTCTGATGCTATGGTGTCACAGCACATGTCTCTATCTCCTGCCAGACAGACCCCAGGTCACCTGCTCTCTACTGTGTCAACAGGACCAGCCTGGACAAGGGCAGAAAGGAGCAGCTGATTGGGGACTGATGAATATAATAAAAGCCCTTTAGGAAGCAGATGTCCTGTCCTCTTTGTCAGCAAGAAGGACTGCCATGGCTGTTGCAGGTTACATTATCTTACAGCCCCCACAGCATTCTCTTTGGGGCTAATTTTTTCCTTATCCTCCAAGGTTTGCCATGGAGTTGATCACAGAAAAGGGCCACACATTTGCCAAAGAGCTTCAGAAAGTAAGTAACATCATTTTAGCCCACAATGGGACTTTTTGTTCCCTTGGCCTGGGGTGTCACTGGCTTTATCCTCTGCCTGCGGCCTCTTTGCGTCACAGTATCTAATTCCTCCTAAGAACAGCACTGTCCTCATCTCAGAAATAAGGACACATAATCCTCGTGAGGTGAGGGTGGTGTGTAAAGGTGGCTCTGCTCTCCAGGGAGTGTTCAGCAACATCGAAATATATCTGTACTTGTCACATGTGGCGGTGGGAAAGCTACTGGTATCAATATCATCCATTGCATGGGACGGCCTCTTGGCAAAGAATAACCCAATGCCAGAGGCCAAAGCCCAGGCTAAAGAGCCCACATGCTCAGGAGCCCAGCTGTATGCCTCAGCCAGGTGGAGCTGTGCCTGGTAGTGTTGCTGTCGTAGTCCAACGGGACCTGCCAGCTAGGGCAGCAGTAGCATCACTCTAGATGACCTTGGGGTGCTGCGGTCTCCCAAGCATCACTGTAGTCTGCTTGGGGCCTACATGGCTCTGAGGAGCAGACAGGAGTCCTTCCTGACTGAGTGTTCCTGTCCTGCTGACCACTGCCCTACACGTCCTGTCCTTCACTGTGTAGGTGACACTGGCACATTTGGTCTCTTGGCCCAGTGAACTGGACCTCAGAGCTGCCAGTGTAGAGAAGGAGGCCACGTGGGTGCAGGTGTGCGGGAGCCATAGTCAGGCCAAGAAGGTGCCTCTTGGCCAGTACTTAGCAGGGCCTTTGCTCCTGTAGACTCCCCTCAGGAAGCCTCACCGTGCTTAGCTGGGACAGTTTGTGTTTGGATGTGAATTCACAAGGTCTGTTAGCTCCTCACAGCCTTGTGTGCACGCTCTGTGGCACCTCTGAACGTGCAATAGTGTAGTGCAGTCGCATGATTTCTACCCAGCCTGCCTCTTGTCCCCCAGATCCAGTGCACGCTACAGGACGTCGGCTCCGCCCTGGCCACTCCACGATCCTCAGCCAGAGAGGCTCACTTAAGTAATTCCCAGCCCTGCTCAGGGACTTCTTGGGGTCCTGGGGTGGGGGGCTACCCCTGAGTGTACGTCTCAGGGCTCTCTGGCAGGACAGACAACTTGTAGGCCTTGGGAAAGAAGTTAGCCTCAAAGCTGATGGGAACCATTGGCAGGATACCTATGCAGAGGGGAAGGGGTATTTCCCTGTGGACTAGTGACATACTTACAGGAATGGCCCTTTCTGCCCCTGACTCCTCAGAATACACGACCTTCAAGGAAGGGCCTATTGTGGAGCTGGAACAGTGGATTGACAAGTACTCCAGCCAGCTGCCCCCACTCACGGCTTTCATTCTACCTGTAGGTATTGGGCTCACCCTGCGGTGGCCAGGGTGGGTGTAGTGACAGAAACACATGGGGTTGCCATTAGTCCCAACTTTGGCTTTTACTACAACAAAGCTGCCCCCCAACACTCCAGCCCCTTTCCTGTCTACCTGAGGGCAGCCCTGGGGGTGTGTCTGGCAGGGCCAGTGTGGAGCAATACTGGCCAATGCTCACTTTCTCTTTCAGTCTGGGGGCAAGAGCAGCTCAGCGCTGCACTTCTGCCGGGCCGTGTGCCGCCGAGCCGAACGACGGTAAGGGTCCCAGAGATTGATGCAGGAGCCTCGCCATAGCTATGCCACCTGACCCTTCCCTAGTTGTCTTCATCATGTCCTGTGCTGAGTCCTGTTATCGAAGAGGGGACTGTGATAGGGGACTGCATCCTCAGCCAGAGAGGCTCACTTAATTCCCAGCCCTGCTCAGGGACTTCTTGGGGCCCTGGGGTGGGGGGCTACCCCTGAGTGTAGGTCTCAGGGCTCTCTGGCAGGACAGACAACTTGTAGGCCTTGGGAAAGAAGTTAGCCTCAAGGTGACTGCTCAAAGGCCAAGCAGTTTCCCCTCCACATTCCAGGCTATGGTCGGGGGATGGGTATGGGGGCAGAAGAGAATAACATGAAAGGCCCATAGGGGCCCTATGGCTAGGGAAGACCAAGGTAGAAGCTGCCCATAGTCCAACCATCCACTGCCCTTGCCTCACCTCCAGCCTCAGAGTGTTCAGTCTCAAGGGGGTCCTCACAGTGCTCCACTCCCCAGGAGGCAGGAGCACTTAGATTCTGTGGCTGGAGTCACACTTCCACAGCCCCCCACATCACAAGCGTTTTATCTTTCACAAAAGGCACTTAGACCCAGCCATTCCCAAATACAACCTGAGTAACAAAAAACGCTTGACCCTCAGAAGAAAAATAGTCATGTGTACAAAGTGGCCTGTATCGGGCTTAAGAGCTGTGAGTGGTAGGAGTGGCTCACAGGCTCAGCACAAGACTAACTGAGCCAGTATTGCTTCCTCAGTGCAGCAGACAGGCCCCAGTCATGGCAGTGACCCGAAGGGATGCCCTCAGGGCAGATGGATACCTCAGTGAAGAAACCATGCTGAGTGGGAGGTGCCTACAGGCCTTCCTAGACATGAGACTTCTGGGCCACTGGCCAAGTATATCATCTTGGATAGGGTCTACCCCCTCCCCCCCGGCTGGCTCAGGGGACAGTACCAACAGGGATTAGGCAGTGTGGGGGTCCGGTGGGGTATAATCATGCCATGGTGCCCAACAGGCACCATCCCAAGTATATGCACACAGACTGACTTGGAACCCCGAGGCATTTAGAATTATAACTTAGAACCAGTAGCTCCTTAGGGATTAAGGGCCACATAAACCCTCCATTGAAGACTAGAGGCTGACAGCCCTGCTCATGAAGGAACCAAGACCACGCTTGTTGGCACAAAGGCCAGCCTACCCTCAGCTTACCTGCTGTGCCTCCTCCTTCACTGGCCAGGCCATGTCATGTCTGTTCAAGGTAAGGGGGTCAGCTGAGGCGGTGGTGGGTTTTCGTTTCTGGGGTAGTTGTCAGGGTTAGTTTGAGTGGTGAGGTCAAGTGGCGATCCGTGTCCCAGGCTCCTGTGTGTTGAGTCTGGCTGTGAAACCTGACTGCGTTCTTTCTTTACAGTGTGGTGCCTCTTGTCCAAATGGGAGAAACGGATGCAAATGTGGCCAAGTTTTTAAACAGGTACTTAAGTGGAGGATGGTGGGTCTCTGGACCACCAGGCACATTGGTGGGCCATAGTGGGGCAGTGAACCCTAAGAGCAGCCAGGGCTAAAGCCACACACCCCTTCCTCCCTCCTTCCCTCCCTAGGTCTTCTCCCCCTTCCCCCCAGTATGTGTATGCTTGCGCTGTTTGCAGGCAGCCCTATCCCACTCTGTGGGATAAGGCTCTGGTTAGGAAATGCATATAGAGCCAGCAGAGGTAAACCTGAATTAAAGGGGCAGGGTGGTCTCAGGGTCTGTTCATGGATACTGATGCCCAGGGTCTTGATAGTGACCAACAGGAAGCCTATCCATCTAGCATCTCTTCCTCGAATGCCCCAGGTGGCCCACAGCTGTCCTGAGTTCAGTGCTGTGAGCCAGGCTAATCCAGCATTACCCTCCCCTGTGGTCAGCCTCTGTGCCACCACAGCTGTGCCTCTGGTTTCTACTGCAGCCTGGCTCAGACATGGGCCAGGCAGGAACCCAGGAGCTGCCTAGCCATGCAGAAAGTGACCTCATAATGCCTGTGTCCCATGTTAACCCCCAGGATGTAGAATGGCTTCGATCTTCACAGGCTCCCTTCCTCCCGGGAGGGATGTCACCCAGACTTAGTGAAAGGTGGCTCTTTTTTAACTCAGAAGCAGCAACCCCGAGGAGACTGGCTGGACCTGCAGTATTGTGCTGGCCAGAGCAGTTAATCCCCTCCCTGAAGGTTCTTGGGAGTCATCATGAACGCAGCATATCACCGTCCTAGGAACACGGGGCTCAGAAGGGCAGTGCCAGGGGAGTCTTGTCTGGGAGTTAGGGCCCCAGCAGTTAAGAGCAGTGCACTGGATGGAAGAGAAGGTCTGTGAATCTGGGCTCAGTGTAGGAGGGGAGCAGGAAGGCATGGAGGAGAGAGTGACAAAAGCTTGCTGTGAGTCTCTAAGAGGTGACACAGAGCCCTATAAGTAAGTACCTCGAGCAGGTGTAGCATCGTTTGGTATTCTCTGTCCCTTTGCCTGCAGAAGGTCCCTTGTTCTGAGCCCAGCACTGCTGGGTCTGCTGACTCTGGTGATGAGATTCCTCCAGGCCACTAATTCTGAAGTGAGACACTGGCAGTGTCTGGAGACAGTTTGGGCAATTGTATCTAGTTCTGGGTACTATTAACAGTGTGCCGAGCCCAAGGATGCCATTGACCACTCTACATGCACGGGAGAGCCCCAACCATAAAGAATAATCCAAAATGTTGGTAGTTCCAAGGTCAAGAGCCACCTAAGGCCTCTTTATGCAAACTGTGACTCCTGATACTGCCTGGGATAGGGGCTGACCCACAGGCTGTGAAGCTCTCCTGAATCCCAGATGGTACATATGGGTCATGGGAAAATGTAGATGCAGCTCAAGTAGCCTAGAATCCTTAGGTTCCACCCTAGGGCTCATGGTGGGCAATAGCCTGTGCCCACAGGAGCACCCCAGGAGTGCTCCAGCCCCACCATCCATATTGCCAAGAGGGTGTGCTACCCACTCTTCCCACAGGGCACTCATCAGGGTTCAAAATTCATCCTTTCTTCTTGAAGACTAGCTGGGCCATATCCTTCCTGTTGCTTCTTTCTGCCCCTCCAGACTCAGCGATTACCTCTTCACCATAGCCAGATATGCAGCCATGAAGGAGGGCAGCCAAGAAAAAATATACAAGAAGAGTGATGAATGAGACATGAAGACATGGTGAGGGGGCTCCATGGGCCCCTCTGGAGAGACCATGGTAAACTTGAGAACAGCTCACACTAAGAGACTGGAAGTGAGCCTGAGGTATAAACTCCCATGGGACCTCTCAGACTCCTGCTGGCTCCCCCAGGTTGTGCTAGAGCACTTGGGACTGGTTCCGTACTCTGTGGTGGAAAGGAACACTGAAGGCTACGAAGAGGAGGGGCCACTCTGCATTGGGAATGAATGTGGGGAAGGTTTGAAGCGCCAACTGTGTGTGTGTGTGTGTGTGTGTGTGTGTGTGTGTGTGAGAGAGAGAGAGAGAGCGAGAGAGAGAGAGAGAGCGAGAGCGAGTGTGTGTATGGGGGGTGGTGGAGAGGGAAAGGCTGCTGCCAACTCTGGCTGTTCAAGGATTTGGAATGTACCAGCGACCCTTGGAAATGTAATTGTGATTTACCTGTGCCAATGGGGCTTTAAATGTCACATTTATAAAGGGGAAGGCAGGCAGGCTTGAGGAGTTTAGTCACCTCTGAGCTGCCCATCACTGCCACAGTGTAGGGGAAAGACAGCTGCAGGTCCACAGGGGTGCAACTTGGAGAATCCTCTCCATCAGGGCAGGAGGTGGGCGGCCCTCCCCACCACAGCAGCCGTAGAAGTGAGGTTTTCAGGCTGTCACTGAGCCCTCCGATGTCACACTTGGCTGGTTTATGCTTCTGTGGTCCACACGACGGCTGTGTTTTATTCCACTTGTCACTGCTGCTGCTTCTCACTATGAAATGACATCGCCAGTGGCAGCTGTGTCCTTGGGAAGAGGGATATTTATGAAAGGCTGGAGGCAGCCCCGAGAACCTGAGGATTCCATGCCTCATGGTAGGTGGAGACTTTGGAAGCACAGGTCAGAGACACCTGGGGACTCACCTCCAGGATCTCTTCCCTGTGTACCTGTTTGGCACGCCTTCCATGCTAGGTGTGGATGGACTGGCCTAGCTGTCTTCCTTGTTGGTCAGTCAGCAAGCATTTGACTTCAGCCAAGTGTCCTCCCCACCTTCCTGCTGATGTTCCTGGTAGACAGCTCCATGTGTATCTTCTGGGCCCTTTCAGGGGTAGATACCCAGGAAGGAGGAGCACCGGAAGTCCAGTGCCACTGTGCCACCATAGTGAGGCACAGATTGGATACAGAGTTGGTGATGTGTGTGCAGGCCAGAAATGAAACAGGAGTGCAAGCTCAATGCCTAAGCATCATGCTGTTCCGGGCCTGGCCGAGAAACCGTGTTCCAAGAGCTTGCAGCAGCTTCTCCACTCTGCCTACAGCCATGGGTCCTCCTAAAAGGACAGGATGGACTCAAGAAAATAGCAACCTACACCCCTGGCCCACGTCCTGCCTGCTTTCAACAATCCACCAGGGTTTGGGGCTCTTACAGGGTAGATCTCAACATTCAGGCTCCAGGCATTGCCTACCTAGCCTTGTACACACTACCCACAATCCCCATGGGGTGATTCCCACTGCACGCTAACACAGCTGCAGAACTGTTTATTTAAATTATAACCATTTATCATTGATCTCTCCCTTTTTGCATAATTCACCCCTTGAAAATTTTGCAGGAAGCCTCCTGTCTTATTTTTTTTTAATTTTGTAAATAGCTGTTTTACTGATATTACAATCCACCTACCATAAAATTCTTTTTAAAATGGACAGTCTGGTGGGTTTTCTGATACTGTCCACTTTTCACCACCCCATAACTCGCACCCAAGAAACTGCCCCCTAATTCAGGACAGGCTCATCAGAACAGTATTCACCATTGTTACTAGAGGCAAGCCTTCAGCAGTGCTGGGGCTACAGAAGGGAAACTGAGGCTCAGAACTGGCCTAGGCTGTGGTCTCATGACCCCCACTCCCAAGCCCAGCAGCACTTGACAGTCATTTTAATCACAACCCCGGGCTGTCGGCCAGTGTCAGGCACTAATAGGTCTGCCGTCACATTCTCAGCTGACTTTCCCTTAACTGATACTTCACGGCTGTTGTTAATGTGCATTTTCCACTGAGTAATTTCCAGAGCCTGAACTTGTAGCACATCCCAGTGATAAATGTCCCCCAGTTCCAAGTCCCCTGTCAGCTGCAATGTCACCCATACCTCCTCCCCAGCACCTCCCGACAGCCCATCCAGTTTTATGATCCCTCTGTCCCAGTGATCACGACTGAACCTTTAAGAATCCAGACGTATTTCAAGTTTAATTGAATAAAATTCTTTGTCTAATAAATTCCGCACGAATGCTACATAAATCAATGCCTGGAAGGATTTGTGGCTCATCTCTCTCCCCAGACGGGGTTTGAGGATCCTGCAGGCAGTGCTGAGCCCAAGCTGGTCCTGTCCTGATCACTGAGAGGAATAAATGTGCCTTTGGGGTGTAGAGGGTGTGGCTTCTGTTGTCATGACCTATTGAGTCCCTCCTGGAAGACAGCACTTTGTCCAGGCAGAGCAGAGGAGGAGCAGACTAGGGGTCTAGGAGCTCCTGGGAGGGGTCTCAGTCATTTATGGGATCAGAGCTCCCAGAACCATCATTTGTCACCTTTGAAGTCCTAGAGAAAACCACACACAGGCTCTTTGGGAGGTGCACATGCTCTTTCTAGGTTGGTTGTCAAGTTTGTGTGAGTCCTGAAAGTCCGTGTAAACAAGGTGAGACTGCCATGCAAGCTGGGAGTGTGGCACATGCCTATTGTCCCAGCTACCTGGAAGGCTGAGGCAGGTGGATTATCTGACAAACTTGGGAGTTTAAGACCCAGTCTGGGCAACATAACAAGACCCTGTCTCAAAAAAAAAAACAAAAACAAAAACAAAAAAACAACACCCTCTTCAAGAGCTAAGTGGGAATTCATGGGGCAACTTCCTCCAGCGGCTGCTTAGGGGTTCCTGGAGCCCCAGCCTTGAAGGAGAGAAGGAATGCCCAGAGCTAGAGAGAAAGATCTGCAGGAACTGGAAGGACAGTGAATGATGGGCAGGCACACAGCTCCACACTGGCCTCTTAGACCCTGAGAGCAGGCCTGGCCAGCTTCTAACCCCTGAATTCTGGATACACTGGTCATCTTTTCATACTGACCTCCTCACTGGTAAATGGTGACAGTCTTTATGCTCTGTGGTCATTGGGAGAGCTTACTTAACTCGGAGTGTTTAACAAGTCCCTGGCAAGTGCTAGCTATTTTTACTTGAATTCAGATTCCAGCTTTGTCACCTTGCACAATTCATTTAGCCACCGTGTAGCCCAGGATGGCCTCTTTCTTCCTCTAGAGTGCTGGGATAAGCAGTGTGTACCACTGTGCTTGGCACTCTTCATCATTGTAACAGGATAGCATAAACATACACACAGACTTCTATCATGCACAATACATGTGTGTGCATAAACACCCAGACTTCTATTCATGCACAATACATCTGTGCATAAACATACACACAGACTTACATGCATACACAATACCTGTGTGTATAAACATACACAAACTTCTATGCATATGCAATACCTGTGTGTATAAACATGCACAGACTTCTACGCATCCACAGTATGTGTGTGTGCATAAACATACAAATGTCAAAACAAACCTTCACACTGTAACTAACCCTGAGAGAGCACCTTGCCCATAGCAGCCCCAGCCAGCTGCCACGAGCATCCTTGTGTTACAGAAGCTGGGGCACTGGGAAATGACACCATGGCTGGTGCCATGCAGTGTAAGAGGCCACTCTGGGACTTGAGCTTGCATCCTCCTCTAGCCTGCTTACCTCTGCACAGGGACCTGTATTGCTGTAGTGGCAGCAGAGCCCGTCAGGTTCCCCATGGTGGCCTCCTTGTGAAGTTAGCAATTAGGGTATGGCTGGTAATTAAGTGGAGAAGGCTGCTTCTCCAAGAGAAGAGGAAAGAACTGAAAAGCTCCCAGAGGGCCGAATTAAGTGGGGGGGGCTGCTTCTCCAAGAGAAGAGGAAAGAACTGAAAAGCTCCCAGAGGGCCCTGGTTCTCCCAGCCAGAAGTAGCCATTCCAAGGAAAATGAGAAATAGGTGCCAGTTGAAAGTGACACAAAGGCCCCCAGAGAACCAACCCAATAGATGGCACAAAAACATCCTAATGATTCCAGACCTGGGGTGCAAGGTGACCTCCATTTCAACACCCTAGAAGCAACTCCCCATGGCTGATCTCAGGTCATGGGCCTTCTGATACCCCCCTTCCCCCCACACACTGGCCATCTGTAATGTCAACATCCCTCACCAGCTAGTAGGTGCCTTTATTTATGATCACCTTGGAAGGGTCGAGCAGACATATGTTGCTAAAGGGGCGTTTATTCTTGTTTATAAAATTTATGGCTTCACCTCAATTACACACTGTCAAAACGGGAAGGATCGGCCCCAAAGCCTCTTGCCGCCTGACTGCTTCAGACGTGCGTACATCTGTTAACTCCATGGGAGCTGTACAGGGAAATCAGGTCTACTATAACTCAAGCTTGCTGTCCTGCCACAAGGTGTGAGCTGCAGGCCTTGAGCAGATACATCCATGCATGCACGTGGGCAAGGAGGCAGCTAGCCACTGTGGTGGCCATGCCAGGTGGTCAGATGTGTGCACTAGCCATGGCCTTTGTCAAGGTACTTTAAGCTGAGGAAGATGCGAAACAACTTCATTTCCGTGGCCTTTAGCGTCCAGCTGCAGTTCTCCAGCAGCTGGAGAAAGTTTTTGAGCCTGTGGCTTCCCACCTGGCAATATCAGTGGGAGAAAAGCAGGGGTCTCCAGTGTGGGGGGAGTGCAGGTGGCCGTGAGTTTCAGGAGGACAGTTTGGCAACATGAAAGTCCTGAGAGTGCATGTCCTGGGCCTGCAAGTCCCCTGCCCCCAACATCTCAGAGGGAAATGTGTCTCAGCAGAGCCCAAAGGATTGTGTTCAGCAGTGTTGCTCATTACAGTGAAAAACTGGACCCTCGTGTGTGAGACAAGACAGTTAGGTGACTCAATGCATGTGCACTATTTAACAAGTAGGGACCTTAAGAAATGTTATGACCTCTGTGGGAAATGGGTATGGGGACCTATTCCAAAATGCTGTGTAGCACACAGTCCGAATTCTGTGAAATTGATATCCATGTGTATACACCACAGGAAGACTGCGTGTTTAACAGTGCTTGTCTCTGAGTGGGGGTGTCTCATGGGTTGTGTTAACACTTTTTTTTTTGTCTGGATTTTCTAACTTTTCTGCAGTGGGTTTAGGTTAGGTTTGAGGAGGGCTCACTGTGTAAGAGACACGAGAGAGAATGGAAAGAAAGTGAAAGCCAGGCCTGGGCATGTGGCTCCATTGGTAGAATGCTTGTCTAGCATGCACGGAGCCCTGGGTTTGGTCCCCAACATGGAATAAACTGGTGTGAGTGTGTGTGTGTGTGTGTGTGTGTGTGTGTGTGTGTGTGTGTGTGTGATATGCTGCTTAATCTCAGTGGTAATGGAGGTGGTAATATCAGTAGTTCAAGGACAAGGTCATCTTGCCTACATATCAAGATTGAGGCTAGTATGGGCTACATAAGACCTTGGCCAAAGCAAAATAAATAGAAAGACCAAAAGAAGGGGTGGGTATGTCCCCCTGCCTGCACTGTATCACCTTCCTCCTTTGGGACAGCTTAGTCGCCTCAGGACAAAGGGGCACACTGATATGTGGAAAGATGAGGCTAACACGCCACAATCTCAAGTAGCAAAATGGGAGCTCAGTCCCAGCCTTCACTAGCAGACCCAATTCCCTTCTCTGTTCTGCTGTGAGCAGAGAGGGACTGACCCCAGGCAGGGAAAGAGACGCTAATTCAGTGGATCACCAGTTATAAGGAATAAGGCCGGGTTCTATAGAAAGGAATTTGGTAATCTATTAGTAATGTCTGTCATGGCCTTATTGAGGTACACAATAACAGACATGCTTTTGATACTTGTGCATTCTTAGGGTAAAACCCTCACTGACCTCAGAGGAGGGGGAGACTTTGTAAGGAGGTTCGGTCCTCCAAAGCAGCCCCCCAAAATGATCCTAGACACCCCATGAGAACTACTAGCAGAGGAAAAAAAATCCAAGAGCTTTGAGGTGACAAATCAGGGCCATAGATCTCTAAGAGTCAAATGCTTATAAATCTGACTAATTAATTAGTCAGCCCTGACGAGCTCCCCACCATAATTCAGCATCTGCAATTAGATTTCATATTAAAGCATGCAAATTCAAGATTAAAGCCAGTGAGAGAAGCTGTGACAGCCCCACCCCCTCCAGCCTCTGCCATCCCGAGCCACCGGCTCCTTGGGGTGCAAGTTCTAGAATCTTCCCTTCTGCTGCTTTGTCTCCCAGGCCCCCATTGTGTTATGCTGTCTCAGGCTGTACCCTGTGGGGTGAGGAGCCAGTGCCAGCTCCACTCCTGGAAGATGGCTGAATTTAGGTGGGGCAAACATTTTGGTCCAGGGCCATTTGGGGACTTACAGGTTGTAAAGTCCTGAAGCCGAAGGTCACCTCTGTGTAGGTTACCTGGCTGCTGGGGGACAGGCACGCCATGGCGGAGCAGGGGCTTTTGGTTCAAGCCAGGTGACTTGGGGGAGGGGCTCCAGATTGGATAACTTCAGGAAACAGGACTAATTCTATGATTATTTTAAGTAGACTTTTTTTTTTCTAGAAGGAGGGAGGGGCCAATGATCCAAGGCTGCACAGCCATGCTGCTCACAGTGCACAGTGATGTTTCAATCAGTGAAGAGTCACATCTCTGACAGTGGCAGACCATGTGACATCACAGCTTTGTGAGTACACTCTGTGATGTTCTTGCGTCCATAAGATAGCAGAGAACAGGTTTCTGAGACAGTATCCCTACCAGAAAGTGATGTGTGGCCAGTTTAATCTATTGGAGGGCCAGATGGGCAGTTGACAGATGGCTTGGGTGACACCCCCAAGTCTGGTGCTTCCCTCTGGCTGGGAAGGGGAGGCCAGCTGCTGCTCTGGGGCCAGTCACTTTCTCTGAGTTTGCAGGACCCAGGATTCCAGAGCTTTGAGTCCTCACTGTAGGAACACTCTCAACACAGGTATGACCGTGTCTGCTTCCAGAAGGCTTTGCAAGGGGATGGAGACAGAGAGAAACTGCAGACAAGGGACAGAACAGCCTTTCAGCTTTGCCTAGAGGCTTCTGCTATCTTCTGGCCCACTCAGCCCTGATGAGGACTTTGGGGTGTGGCACAGCAGTGTTTAGACCTGGACTATTAGGGTGACAGTTCCTGAACCTCAGTTTTCTCAGCTGTTAAGTGGGCATCAGAATAGGGTGACATAGGAACTGGAAGGAGTGACCAGGGTACATACACAATGCCACATTTCTTTCTTTGGATTGGTTACAGCCTCTTGGGGTGGGGGCAGTGCCCACATTGCTCATGGCTGTAGCAACACCTGCCCCAGCCTGAGGCACAGAAGTTCTCTGAACCTATTTGTTAGGTGAGTGAATACCCATCAGGCTTCCTGGGCCAGCTCTCAGCTAGAACATCTAGCAGCTGCACAGCCCATCTGGCATCATATGGGCCAGTGACAAAACCATCCTGCAGACTGCACACCAAAGCCCCCATAGAACATACAGGGGATACGCCCTGCCCTGGACAGTTGATACTGTGGAGTTCACAGGAGCCACTATGAGCAAGGGATCATGGATGCAGATGCCTGGCAGGTGCCTAAGGATGGCAGATAGCCAGTGGGCAAAGCAGCGCTGTGTTGTCCCTGGCTTAGCTTTGCTGCCCTGCCTCCCCAGGGAACTCTCCTCCGAGTCTGGCTTTGCCCCCACTGGCTTCAGATTCCCAGTTTGGGCAATAGCCTGAGCCCTGTACCCCTCCCCCAGGGCAGTGAAGTCACAGGGGCCCAGGGCTAAATCTCAGTTGGGGTGTTTTTGAGTTGTAACCACACAAGCCAATTCACCTGCCCAAACATTGGTAGAATGAGGCAAGCCACACCTGGTTTCTAAGTTCCCCGGGAGGGGGGGGGAGACTGTAGCAAACCCTCTTTGCAGAGGCTGGACAGTGGGTACCTCCCCTCACATGTTCTTGCCACAGTGCCTCCCTTCCCCCCTCCACGGTGGAAACTCTGCTGTGGGCAGACATACGAACACTTCCTTTTTGAGCCTCTTCATTGAACCTGGGCATAATTTGTCCCATGAATGCAGAGACCAGGCTGGCTTTAAACTCAGAGATCCACCTGCCTCTCCTCTTGAGTGTTGGGACTGAAGGTGTGCATTACCACACCCGAACTTAAAACAAACAAACAAACAAACAAAAGACAGGGTTTCTCTCACTCTGTATCTCTGAACTTGTAGCAATCCTGCTTCAGGTTCCCTAGTACTGGGGCTACCCATGTACACCACAGTGCAACTGGCTAAGGCAAAGATTTTGAAAAGTCTGACTTGTCCCATTTTCTCAGATGATGAGAGTGAGGTTCAAGCAAGGTGGCTGAGCACCCATAGCTAGTAGTTGCTGACTGACCTTGCCCACTGTCAGTAACTCCAGCTGTCTATCTGCAAGATGATCCGCAAGAACGAATGTGGAATGAAGCCGAGAGTTAGATGTTGCCCAGGGTCAGTTGGATGATCTAAGTATGTCTGAGGCCAAGTTCAGCATTCTATTCCATCTGCTTCAGCCATAGCCTTGTCCTTGCTTCAAACCACCTGGTGTTCTGACATCCTCTCTCCCAAACCTCCCTTCCTCCCCAGGGTCTAAGTGAAGCATGAAGGAAAAGCAGCCACAGCACCCAACCCAGGAAGGCTGTATGGCGGGTGAGGCAGGAGCTTGGGGTACAGCCAGGGCTCTGGCCTTGTGTTTGGCCCAGCAGCAACCCTCTGGGATGTCTGCTGTTATGAGTGATGAATGCTCCTACCTAGGAGTTTAAAGAACAAAGGAACTCCAGAGAGAATGTGGTCTCTCTTCCTGAGACAGACACCAGGAGTCACCAGCTGTCCTCAGATGGTACAGATGTGGGCCTTGGGCCCATTCTCTGCTGTCCTGGGGGTGGGGGTGGACTTGGCTTGAACTCCCAGTTGGTGGGCAGCAGAGCTGGGACGTGAGCCCTGTGGCAGGATGTTCTCGGCCCTGGATGGATGGTTAAGTCCCCAGCCCAGGCTTCTGAACTACTCCATCTGTTACACATATGTTTGTCACTAGTGTTGGCTGTCATGACCACAATGAAGAAATTATTTCATTAGGACCCATGTGCCAAGGGCTGGGGACTGCTGGCCTGTCCTAGGTCCTTAACACCGGTATGGGAGACACAGCCCACTTCCTGGGGATGCACAGGTGTGCAAATACCTCAGGCCAGCCCCGTGCTGGCTGAAGCATCTTTGCCGAGGCACTGTCCAACACATATGAGCCTCCAGCCTGTGTAAATTACATGAAGAAATGGCAGGTGATTTTTACCCACTGACCACTCTGAGGGACAGAAGCCGCTCTGGAAGCTTGATCGGAGAGCCTAGTCAGGCCTGTGGGCAGTCTTGGCTTCTTGGTTTTTTTTTTTTTTTGTTTTGTTTTTTCTTTTTTTTATGGCTTGAGTCCACTTCTGCCATTTATTCCAGGCTGCCTGGCCTTGAACCTTTAAATCTTCCTGTCTCAGGCTCCCAGGCTCTGGGATTATAGGTGTATGCTGCTCTGCCTGGTTTAGCCTTAACTTCTGAAATTGACAGGGGAGAATGGGGAAGTAGACTGCCATATAGAAACTAATCCTGAGCCAGGCCCAGACCCTAGACATCTCCAGTGTCTCCCAGAAAGAAATGGGCATGGAACTGGGCTCATAGGACTTGGGGCCAGGAATCTGACTTCACAGTCCATGCAACGAACCTCTTTCCAGTCCTGCAGGCAGCCTGGCCAATGTAAGGTTCCAGTGGCATGAACCTGTGAGCCCAGCGTTCAAGCAGCAGAAGCTACATAGCACACATCCAAACTAGGGTGCACTCAGGAGAGCCACTGGCCGAACTTTAGGGTTGTCAACCTGATCTCCATGGACAGCAGCACAGCTGAAGGAGGGCGAAGCAGCAGTGGTCAGGGTGTTGCAGACATCATCTAAATGTTCATATGCACCACAGGCCCCACCACCACAGCAAATGAAATCCTGCTTGTTTCCCTCATCAACACACTAGCCATTTGCACTGACTTCAATTCTAGAACCTGCACCAGAGCCAGGCTTTACTTTTAGGTGGGTGTATATCACACTGCAGCTTTGCAGCATTTTCTATTGGTGGGGATACTGGGATGTCAGGAGACGTCCCAAGCAAGAGACATGTCTAAGTTATCTGGTCTCTCTGCATCAAACAGGCTGGCTTTTGTAGGTACCATGTAAATTATAAACTTCAAAGCTATGCATGCAATCCTGGTGCCACTGCCTATAGGAAGGGGGCAGAGAGAGACAAATGTCACTTCTGAAGACAAAGCTGGGCACATGTGATAACTGCCCAGCTCTCCTAACTCAGCTCCAAAGCCAGGATGTCTGTCAAAACATCCTGTGTCTTTTTGGTACTGTGGGTGCCTTAAGTGACCTGAGCCATCCAGGCCCAGGGCTGAGTACAAACCAGAACACAGCCACCATATGCTCAAGTACAAATTTAATAAAGCCCTGACATGTCTTAGTTCACAAGTTACCTACTAAAACAGAAATCCCACTCCTATTGTGGAGCCACCAAGAGCCAACCGGGTGCCAGTGACCACCAGTTATGACAGACTTGGGGCTTGGATAGTGTGATGTTCTAACTGCTGGAAAGCAGGCTCAAAGTGAACTACAGACAACCCTAGGTCAAAAACAAACAGGTCAAGTTGATATTGGTGTTTTTAACCCATTCTCTCCCCATGTCCTTGCCGTAATTCTCAGGCTCCATGTTATTTGTGCAGACTGTGCACAGGGCACAGGGATCCATGGGCAAGCTGAATACACACATGGCTGCCAGACATCTTCCAAGGACCTTGCCATCCTTCCATCCAAGCAAGGCTTGCACCACTCTCCAGAAGCCCAGGGGCCCTTCCCAGGCTTCCAGCCACAGCGGGAACAGGACATGCCCACTTTCCCACAGTGTGCAGGTTCCTGATGGAAGGTGTTTCCATGCTTTGAGCGCTGTAGCCCTAAGCTGGCTCCACAGAGTGGAGGAGGGACCAGGACTCCTGGCCTCCAAGAGGGTGTAAGAACTAGATGAGATGAGACACTGAGCCCAGAGTGTCTGCCTCAGCATCTAGAACCTGCAGAAAGGTCTTAAGATAAAGGGCAAAAGGAGGGCCCAGGAGCACAATGGTGGGAAAACAGAATAAGGTCCAAAACAAAGAGTGCAGCCAAGAGAGGTGGTGCGAAGGCATGTGGATACACCGTAGCCTCCTAGGCCTTTCAGTGCAGAAGGGTTCCTGTGCAAGGGACGGGCTTTGCAGTCCCTGGAACAAAGCACTGCCCAGATGATGGGTGCTGTAGGCTCTTGTGTTTCTCTGTAAGGTGACGAGCAGGGCAGACACTCAGAGCCAGTAGGTTCTGGGTACTCCAGAAATGGGGAAGCTCTCCAGGGTGGCAAGTTTCTCTTCTAAGCTAGGACACCAGTACCCAGGCCAGGGGCTAACAGCAAGGGTTCCCTGACAGCATGGCCTGCTGAGGACTTGGGAGAGAGGGCTGTGGTGTGGAACACCTGCTCCCCTGTAGGAAAGACCCTGAACTGTGCTCGGCAGCCTCCCTGGCACGAGCTGGGTTTGATTGCCTGGGAAGAGGCCGCTGTGGGCAGGGTAGAGGCAGGGACTCTGCCGTGCATAGAGGCTTGGCGAGGCCTTACCTGAGTTTTCAGAACGGAAGGAGGAGCTCACAGGCACAGGCTGTGTGTACTCAGAGGGCAAAGGAAGAAAGCCTCACAGAACCACCAGGAGCTCCTCTGCAATCACTAGAAGGCAGGAAGGGGCACATGGGGAAAACCAGGGGCTTATTTTTAACAGCACTCCCTAGAACATTGAGTGTGCTGTGTAGCATCCCCACGCTTGGGCGTCTCATGGCTATTGAGAGAGTCTGAGGACTCAAGTAGGCTGGCCACACCCCTGGGAGCATGGTGCCTCCAGAAGCCGAAGGGCTCTGTAGTGCTCTCCAGGGCAGGTGGAGATTGGAGCTGGGCTAGGAGAGCTCAAAGCCTGTGTTCATGCTGATGGCATAGCGCAGTTTCTCTCGGAGGACACTTTTCTTGCTGTAGTTGGGCAGCTTGAGCAGGTTGAAGCAGGTGGAAGAAGTAGGCAGACGCCCACCTGGCTCCCGCTTGCGGATAGTAAAGAAGCCCCTGAGGACACTGCCCAGGGTGTCCCCAGTGTCCTGCAAACACACACCACAGCTGTGGGTTAGAAGGTGCCTGTGTAGGCACACACACAGGTGAAGCCCAGCTCAGGCCAATGGCTTGATAGGCTCAGGGGCACACCTGCTGCTCTGAACACTGGCATGGCAGTCCTGTGCTAGGTCACCTGTTAGTATTCAGGCATCTGCACTGGCCTGCCCTTGGGGTCCTGACAGGATACGCCCTCAGCTGCTGCCACCAAGAGCACCACCTGTGCCTATTCACTATGTTCCCTTTTAAAAGGGCCCAGTCTACCTCCCATCCCTCTCTTTTTGCCCCTCCATCTCTCTTTTCTTTCTCCCGCTGCTCCTGTCCCTGGAGGATGGTCTCCCCTCTCCCCTTTTTACAATCCTTTTCCCTTAATAAAACCCCTCTACTTGAACTCTGTCCCATGGTGTCTGTATCTTTCTCCCGAGCTCCCCCCCCTTTTAAAATTACAACCTCAGACTAGGGGCCTCCTGGTTGATGACACTTATCAGCTAACTAAGGCTACCTAACACCCCTTCTCTGACTTCAAGTACTGTGGCCCATGGCTGACAAGCACTTGGCTCAACTTTTCCCTAAGTCTGGAGGTGGAGGACCATCTAGTGTCTGACAGAAGGGAGTGCAGCCTGAAGAGAGGTGGTGAACAGGGACTGGCGGAGATCAGCGGGCTTGCACAGGGCAGGCACTTCTGAGCTCATAACATACTGGGCACATGAATCCTAGGACATTCTCCTTTAACATGCAGGCAACAGGCAGCTTGCCGGGGTGTGTGTGTAGCCAGCAGGGGAGGAGCTGGGGAGCAGACCTGAATTGGCCCTTATCCCGAGCTTCACCCCTCCTTCAACCCTGCCTCTTGGACCTTGAACCTTGCCGGATCAGCAGCCATGAAAACAGCATCCTAATCACACACTCCCCGAGGCCTTCCCCAAGGAGGGACCACAGAGAAAGAGTGCCAACAGCCCACACTGGCCTGGGTCTGCAGTGCCCGCTGTGGGTGGCTTTCATGCCATCATGTAGGCAGGGGTGTGGGGGGCATGATGTGCACAGCAGAGAACTGGGCAACAGAGGAGGAAAGAAAGGAGTGTGGCCTTAGGTACCTGGTCATCCGACACTTCCACACAGCGGATGGAGAAGGGAGGCTTGAGGTAGGCGAATCCTAGGAGTGGGGGTCTGGAGCAGCTGGTCACAAACTGCAATATAAGGCAGGGTCAGTGGGACAGCTGGGGTCTCCCACTACTGCAGCCAGCTGGGCTTTGCCTCCATGTGCTGTTCACTGACCTGTCACTAGAACTAGGGGTGACAGGGAGGTGCTTGCCCAACATGTGCCCAGAACACATCACATGTCTCAAGAGTGCCACCCTCTGGAACTAATGCTAATGAAACTGTGGCCCACTGTCAAGATTGGCGTCTTGTAGGGCAACTAGGAGTGACATCCCATGAAACTGGTCTCCTTTTTTATACTACTGCTTGACACAGGCACTCCTCCAGCCTAACTAAGCTGGCTTTCTATGTGATCTGTACCTGAAGATGTCCTTTAACTCCTGGTGTAGCACCATACAGTTTAGAGCAGATCTCTAACTGTACTGTCACACAGTGAGCAGCAGCAGGAAGACAGCAGTGGTGGCATCTGAGGAGGCTGGGTGAGCAGACGCTAGTGCTGCTCATGAGCCAAGGCCTGGAGCCAGTGAGTCCTAGTAGAGCCTGAACCCATAACCTCATGCGCTGGTATCTTGCACACATGCACTGATGCACACTACCATCTTGCACGCATGCACTGGCACAAATGAGTGGAGCCTGTGTGTATACTGGTTGGTTGGAGTAGGTGAAGGCCTCCTCAGCAGGAGGGAACTGAATTCAGAATGGCCAGCAACAAAGAAGACCAGCTGTTGGTTTGGTTGGTGACATCACCACACTGTCTTCATGGTAGCTGTCACACAAGAAACTGACATACATGTAAGATGGATGTGATGGTACACATTTGTAAGACCAGCATTCAGAGGTGGAGACAGGAGGACTTCAAGGTCACCCTTGGCAACGGGTTACATGACAAATCTGAGAGGATCTTTAGAAACCTGAGACGCTGCCTGGAGAGAGGGAGAGAGGGAAGGAAGGAGGGGGGAGAGAGAGACTGGTGGGGGATGTCCTTATGTATGATACTAATATACATTTCTCTTATTGGCTGATGAATAAAAACACTGATTGATCAGTAGCCAGGCAGTAAGTATAGGTGGGGATACCAGACGAGGACAACTCTGGGGAGAGGAGGCAGAGAGAGGCCGCCAGGGAGACGCCATGTAGCTACCAGGAAGATAGGACACAGGGCATTCTCCGGTAGGCCAAAACCACACGGAGATACACAGATTAAAAGAAATGGGTTAAAAACAAGACAGAGCTAGTCAGTAAGAAGCTCGAGGCCATTAGCCAAACAGTTTATAATTAAGCCTATTTGGACCTAAATGGCTGCGGGACCGGGCAGGAAAAAAACTCTCTCTACAGAGACAGAGAGACAGAGAAAGTGTGCAAGCCAGCCAGGAGGCCTTAGGGAAAAGATTCCAAGGTGTTAAATGTACTCCTAGACAATGTCTTTTCAGAGGGAAAGAAAGCAGGTGGCAAAACCATGATGCATTTTTAATGACAATCTACCCACACATACCAGAGACAGGCATGTGTGTTACTCAGTGTCCTATAAATGCTTACACTAGCAGGTCATTCATCAAAACAAATGACACCTAGGGACATAGTGGACACTCACATCTTCACTGATACTGAGGCAGCAAACAGTTAATGACAGATACTGTATTTGAGAAAGTATAAATAAGCCAGGCATAGAGGCAACACCTAGAATTGCAGTACTCAGGATGCCGAGGCAGGAGGACTGCCCTGAGTCTGAAGTAGGCTAGGCTACTAAGTCCAATCTGGGTTATATAGAAAGAACCCGACTCAACACCTATACTCCCTCAAAACAAGACACAGTGCTGTCAGTGTAGACAACTGTGTTTCCTTGGAATACGTGTGTCTGTGCACGTGTGTGATGCATGTTTTACACCACTGAGAAAGGGTACCAGGGATAGTCACTTATGTGGGAGAAACTCTACACTGGAGCAATATTAGAATTGCCCCTTCCTTCCTTCCTTCCTTCCTTCCTTCCTTCCTTCCTTCCTTCCTTCCTTCCTTCCTTCCTTCCTTTCTCCCTCCCTCCCTCCCTCCCTCCCTCTCCCTCCCTCCCTCCTTCCTGTTTTTTTGGAGACAGGGTTTCTCTGTGTAGCCCTGGCTGTCCTGGAACTTGTTTTGTAGACCAGGCTGGCCTTGAACTCAGAGATTCCCCCTGCCTCTGCCTCTGAGTGCTGGGATTAAAGGTGTGCATCACTATTTTCTTAAAGTAATGAGACAGTACTGGAGGTGGTGGAGCAAAGTGGTACTCGGGCTTGCTCCAATTGAGGAGTAGAGAGCAGGTCAGGCCCCATCTCTCCAGCCCCTCTGGCTCCTCAGCCTTTGGCACAAGAGCGAGGCTATGCTGACACTGTGTGGCCCTCTGGATAACCTACTGTGTTCAGTGTGAACTGCAGAGTGGCCTGAGGGCTGTGTGCACATTCAGGATCCCATACAGAAGCTGTAAATGAGATACCTTCAGGAACATTGCTCTTTCATCGGGTGTGAAGTCGGAAGCCAGAATATCCCAGAGCCAGATGATGACTCTGTGGCTCCCATGAAAGCCTCCATAGTACACGGTGTGCTTCCTGAAAGGAATCGGGGAGGGGGGGGGGGCTGCGCTCAGCAGTGTTCTGGCCCTCATGGGGACAGGCAAGCAGCTGCACTGACACACATTCACATGTCACGACCTCAGCACTGGAAGCTAAATGGGCAGAGGCTCCAGAACTGCTCTACTGTCAACCAGGGTACCACTGCTGGAGCCTCAGAGGGCCCTCCCAGAAGAACTCTGTGTTAGACTAAACCCAGTGAGGGGAACACCTCTCCTTCTAGAAGGCCCAAGCATGCCACCCTTCCCTCCTCACTGCCCCTTACTTTAAATCTTCCAGATCCATCTCAGCGTTGTCCCCAGAGATGAGACGCTGAAGCTCAGGGGTGGAGAACATTCGGATCCACTCAGGCTTAATAATGGAACGGAAACCACTAATGAGAGCAGCTGTCTGGTTTTTGATTTGCGTGTGCATTCGAAAATGTGCCATCAGATGGATGTAGCTAATTCTGTTAACAAGAGAGAGAAATAATGGAACTAATAGTCCAGGGATGGCTGCTGCCAGATGGGCTAAAAGAAGCCTAACACTTGTGAACCATTTTCCAAAAAACAAGCTACACTCCAGCATCTATCAGAACAATGATGGTGACGCCCATGATGGTAGCTCACAAGTCACACATTGCTGTCACCATGACAGCACCAAGTGTCAAAGGCATGGCCTCGTTCACTTGTCCCCATGGCCCCCAACATAACACCCTGAGATGACACCCCAGGTTCTCAGGAGTTGAAGAGTCACCTGCACAGGTGAATCCCATTTGATCACTCTCAAGGACACAGCTTAGTGCTCCAACAACTTCACATTCAAAGTTCCTCTAGAGCCTGTGGTGCTAGATGGGCCCAATGTCCTCTGAAAATGCAGCTAGATCATTCCCAGGTTAAACAGGGAGGTTAGATGAACTAATACTGATGGGCAAAGGGTCTTCGGCTTGCGTTTTACACACCCTGATCTAGCTTATCTACAGCTGCAGGCTGACACTCCAGCAAGCTTGCCAGTGTTGTTGATCTGTTGGCAACCATGCCCAAGTACACAATTAAAAACTCCATGTTGCACTCAGGAGGCAGAGGCAGGAGGCCCTCCAAGTTTGAGGCCAGCCTGGTCTACAGAGCAAGTTCCAGGACGGTGATGGCCACACAGAAAAACAGTTTTGGAAAGCAAAAAAACCCTCCATGTTAAGTATAGCTCAAATATTTCTGTTTTGCCCCACAATGCCCAGGCCAAAGTTACTGACCTTGTTAAATTTTTTATTATCTTCTCCTTCCATGTATTCTATGAAGCAGGTTACCAATACTCTGTGTGTATGTTTGTGTGTTAGAGAGAAACTTCAATGCCCAGAAGCCTGGGGGTTAAGCAGATACTGCCAGGCCCCTGGGTCAAGTACAGGACCTGGAATCCTTGCCATATCCTGAGGCTCTGCCATAGACCAAAGTTATGACACATTATCCATTAGGCTTCATGGCAGGGTAAGAATCTTGTTCCAGCACAGTCTGTACAGACTCAGCTCCCTGGCCCTTTAGCCTGCATAGACTCACCTCTCTGGCTCTTCAGCCTATGTAGACTTACTCCCCTGGTCTTTCAGCATGTATGAACTCACCTCCCTGGCCCTTCAGCCTGTGTAGATTCATCTCCCCTGGCCTTTTAGCCTGTGTGAAGTCACCTTTCCTAACTGTTATTTGCATGTACACAAACACACACACACACACACACACACACACACACACACACACACACACACACACACACCCTCTCCACAGCTCCCTGATATCTGCTATGAAAAGTTTTATGCCCCCTTTCAGCTAGATATCTCAAAAGTGGTTCTATACCTTATTTCACACTCTGCCCCATGAGGAACAGTCACAGGTCACGCACAGGCAGGACCAGGTCTTATCCCTGCACCAAGGCCCAAACCTCACCCATCCCTTCTCTGTAGGCAGTGTTTTGTTCTAAGTTTTCAAGTCAATGCACTGTGGTTACAAGGCAACACGAGTGTTCCAATGCTGCTGACCACTGTCTGTTCTTCTGACTGTTAAAACACAAGACTCCCCAAGCACACTGTCTACCAGACTAGCTGAGCACAGAGAAACAAGGTGCAGGGGTCTGCACTGGGACCAGCACAGGGACCGAGCCCTCTCTTGTCCTCGTCCAGATGAACACTTAGACCAACAGTTCAAATCCCGAGCGGGGGTGGCAGAAAACTGACAAGAGGCCCAGTGCCCCTCCTCCTGCCAAGTTCCACCCCTTTAATTAGGCAGGACAGATTGGGCACAGACCATGTGTCGAGGGATTTGTGTCTGGGATCAAAGGGACTGACATTATCACGGAATCCTAAAAGCATATTAAGTGTGGCACGAGCTTCTGTATCTCAGCATGTCTGTCAGCCCCCACCTCTAAGTGTGTGTCTGCCACATCTGCATTCACACGGTCTTCCTGAGAGCAGCCACACAGTCACTCTCAAATGTCCCTACTTGCCTGCCCTCAGGACAGCATCCATCTCGTGTCTCAGGGGCGCTATCACTACATTCCTAACAACAGTGGCCAGTGCCTCTGACCTTCCAAAGTACTTCTGCTAAGAGTAAACCATCCACTCTTATTTTGCAAATTGAATTTAATACAATTCTAGCCTATGAACTATAACCAGAAAATTCCATTATGATATTTATGGCCTCTTCCCACCTCAATCTATCTTAATAAATTCTCAGCATAACTCCGGGAGCCAGAATGAAGTCTTTTCAAGTGCTGACCTTAAACGTCCAATTGCTATACTCACTTATTTTCATTTGTAACAGGAATGGTTTTCCCTCCAGGAACCAGTTCATGGCAGACAAGCTGGGGGAGAAGACCGGAGTAATTACTAGGGGGAATTCTAAACTGGAAAGATGCAAGGGCCCAGCACAAATGACCACGATAATGATGGAATTAAGATGCTGTGTGTTTGAGAACAAAACCTTGGGGCCAAAACATCGACAAGCAGGTCTCATGTGATCCACAGGAAAGGTTTCTCATCTAACCTTTGTCCAAATGTGTGCACTAAGGATACTGGATGCCAGGCACAGAGGGAGAAGTGCTGAGGACTTCAGTGAGGTGTGAACACCCACAGGAGACATGCTAGTGCTGAGTGAGGGCTGCAGTGGGGTGTGAACACCCCCACAGGAGACATGTTAGTGCTGAGGACTGCAGGGAGTGTGAACACCCACAGGAGCCATCTAGTGCTGAATGAGGGCTGCAGTGGGGTGTGAACACCCACAGGAGACGTGTTAGTGCTGAGGGCTGCAGTGCGGTTTCTCCAGAGCAGACCTCAGGCTACATGGAGAGAGAGCCTCCCGCAGGGACACAGAGGAGTGGCAGAGGACATGGGAGAGTGGTGCCAGGAACTGTGACAGGCGAGGCTTCTGCCTGCCGGCCTGCCTCCAAGGCCTGTCCTCCTCTGCTCCCGATGACACTGTGACAAGGGTTTGACCCCAGAGGACTTCTCCTCAGGTGTTGTCCCTCCACCTCAGGTCAGAAACCTCCATTTATATGACCAGTCCTCAGCACGGATCTCCAGCTTGCCACAGACTAGAACAGGAAGGCTGGGTGGACGCAGAGACTGCCTCAAGTCCCGTGACACAGGCTCTGTGGGAGCTGGCTGAGGTAAGCGTGCAAAGGCCAGGCTGACAGAGAAGAACAAGAAACCCTCCCCTCCTGGCCAGGTGACAGACAGATCCTCGGTAGGCAGATTTCTGAGGGAAGCCCCATGAACTAGCAGGTCTTAGGACTGGAAGAAGTCTGCCAGATCAGCCCACATACCTGACCCATGACGTCTTCATCGTAAGACAGTGTCAGCCCAAGGTCAGCGATGTCTCCATCATAGCGCTAATGGAACAGAGAGAAAGCACTGGGGCTTGTGTAGGCAGAGGTCTTCCCTCCTCAAGAGGCCACAGAGTTGCCCCACCCCCAGGCAGAGGCCACTTGTCATATGGATGGAAGGGGCTGTGAGCCTCAGGGTTGGGGGCTGTTCCAGTGACTGGAATGGTGGATTCACACTGGTGCGCACTCAGTTACCTGCCACTCAGCACTCACCTTGATGGAGGTAAGGTTTTTATAAAACTCCGAGTCTAGTGATGGGAGCTCATCCACGGAGCTATAGAAGATACTGTGGTGATGCCCAAGCATCTGGCTCAGGAAAAAAGAGGCAAAGGGCACGTCCACCACGATCCCCTAGAAGAGACGGGAGGACAGGGACTCAGCCATCAGGCAGAGCAGCTTGGGCTTCAGGGGTAGCCTGAGGGCACCAGTGGTGTCTAGGTCAGCCTGAAGCTGTACCTCTCTGTCATCTAAGAAATGACCTAGGGAGGGGTCTCAGAGAGCAATGGTCTTGGGCAGAGGCCCTGGAACCACGTAGCGCAGAGTTAGGCCTCACTCAGTGGACAGGCGACTCCCACAGCCTGACAGGCACCAGAAGCCATGAGGGACTTTTCATGAGTCCTGAAGAAGCCCCCCACTAACTTGACCCCACGAACCCAAGGAGCAGAAGCCAACAACCGTCCTTAGATGCAGACCTAGTGCCAGTTACAGCCCTCACCATGGATGACATCCCACTTTACTGAAGAAGAGGCTAAAAGGAGGAAGGTATCAGGTGCCCACTACACTGAGGCTACACCCTATCTTTCTGCTCTAGTTTGCTAACTTCCAGGAAGCTCCGTCTTCTTCTGAGGTATCATTTCAAGTAACAAATTTCAGCACGTGGCTGGGGTGTGTCAGTGGCAGAGTGCTGATTTAGCATGTGAAACTCTGGGTTCCATTCTCAAAACAAACCACTCATATGTCACCTTCTACATGTCACTGCATGTTTTGGGTTTTGTTTTGTTTTATCAGTTTTTTAAGACAGGGTTTCTCTGTGTAACAGTCCTAGCTGTCATGGAACGCACTCTGTAGACCAGGCTGGCCTTGAACTGCCTCCTGAGTGCTGGGATTAAAGGCATGCACCACCACTGCCCAGACCATGTTTTTCTTCTTTTGGAGACAGTCTCTTGCTATGTATCCCAGGCTTGGATTACAGGGTGCCACCATGCCCAACTCTCAGGCGCCACTTGGCATTTGCTCTGCACTCCTTTGAGGGCCTACCTCATAGACAGCTTTTCCCAGCATCTTTCCCACAAATTCAAAGAGCTGCAGGTAATTCTCATGAATGTAGGATGTGGGTGAGGGGTAGAGCCTCTCATCTCCGCTGGTTGTCTGCCAGGAGAAAGGACAGAGAGGTGGAAGTTATGAGCTGTACTCACTCTACATTGGTTCCCTGTGTCTTGCTGCTGCCAGCCCCGGCAGTGCCCCCTTGGCCACCTTGAACAGATTGAGTGCTGGGTCAAACACCCTCTTGATGATCTCCTCCAGAAACTCCTTAAAGACACCGTCCTGGTCGATGCCAGCTTCGTCCACCCCAAGGTCATTGACGAACTTCACCCGGATCACACCCTTCATAGCGTGCTGGGACAGCTGCCGGAGCTGTTCGTAGCCATCCTACCGAGACAGAAGTTCAACTCCTGAGGAGCACAGCTTTAGCAAGCCCAGGAGTCTAACCATACAAGTCAGAATACCAGCCGGCGGGAGGATTCATTTGATGGATATGATGTCTCGCTCCTTGGCATGAGGAGACTGCCCCCAGGTGGACACAGAGTCAGATGGGGAAAGGAGAAAGAGCTGTGCTAGCTCTGGCCATCAAAGGTGGAGGAAGCTGGGACAAGATGGATCTCTTTCTCCCTTCTTTAATATAGAGACTATATTTCAGCTCATGGGTAGAGTCAGCCTTACAAGACACAGTAAGACGAAAACCCTGGGTCCTGGTGCTGAGGGCAACTGTGGGGGGTGGGCAGGAGAAGTCAGAGCAATTGGGCTGGCTTTCTGAACCAGAAAGACCTCTGGCAGCAGAAATACAGCAGCAGAAGACATGGTGGGAGCCAGAGCCCCTGTGAAGTGGTGAGGTTAAATAGTGTGGAACGGTGGTGGGGGAGGTCTAACCTTTGCTAGACTGTGGTCAGCTCCCTCAAAACACAGCCGTTTGTGGGGCATGGCTCTGGCAGAGTGTGTGGTAAAGTGTGCCAGGCCCAGGTATGAGCCACAGCTCTAGAAGCTAAGAGCAGTAAATGCAGATAACGAGTGCACATCTCCTATCCAGACCCCCCCCCCCCCCCCCCCCCCCCCCCCCACCCACATATGCTGGTTAGTTCTGTGTCACCTTGACACAAGCTATGGTCATCTGAAAGGAGGAAACCTCACCTGAGAAACTACCTCCGTAGGTTTGGTTAGGCAGCCTGTAGGCTGTTTCCTTTATTAGTGATGGGTGGGGCCATCTCTGGGCTGGTGGTCCTGGGTTCTATAAGAAAGCAGGCTGAGCAAGCCAAGGGGAACAAGCCAGTAAGCAGCACCCTCCATGGCCTCTGCTTCAGCGTGGTGTTTGATCATAGCAACAGTAACCCCGAGTAAGGCTGAGACCTCTGGGCTCTTGTCTGCAGAAGTTTTCCTGGCATCTGACTGTCACTAAGTGAATCCCAGTGTCTGGGGTGCTGAGGTTTTGATTCTGGAGCAGCACTGTCATATTTAGCTGACACGACAGTCCACATCCATGGCATCTACTCATCCATCCATGTGCTGTCCTGGTCACCTTTGACACAAAGCCAACGAACAACCTAGCAGCACATGAGTTCTATTTTGGGGTACCCTTGCTGCCCTCCTGTCATGCTTAGTGATGCACAGGTCCCTCCCATGGTGTCTGCCTCTTGTCAGACACACTTAGGCTGGTGAGCCAAGGAAAAATGACACAGGCCACCTGTGGGAACAGAAGCCAGCTATGGGCATGCCCATGTGAAAGATAAGCGCACTTAGGAGGCCGAGGCAGAATCGCTGTGAGTTCAAGACCAGCCCAAGTCACAGCGACCAAACAAAACCACCCACCCCAAGAACAGTTGAGAGGAAAACAGGAGAGTGAGTTGTTATGTAGCTGCGGTGGCACCGAAAGCACCGTGAACTGGCACCTGGGCATGACCCACCAGGAGGATGGGTGGAGGCTCCATCGCGCTCCTGGTACATGAGGCCGTCTCTCTACCATACAGCCTGGCAGCAGGTGTGCCACATTGGGGATGGGATGGCACATGAGACTCTTAGCCAGCCATGTGGCAATGCTGGATGTAGACGCATTCCTACTTGATCTGTACCACACTAGTCTCTTCAGGAGGTTGTAAGAGGATGTGCTCCCTGCCTCCTCTGACGCACCTCTGCCTCATGGGCACCACTGTGGTCATGTGAGGATCACACTCCACAGGACAGAGTCAGCGTCCTCTCAGGCTTCACAGTATGCTGAATTGGAGGATGGTGAGCTAGGTCTGGTCACCAGGCCAGGCTGTCACCAGTACCAGAATCGGCTAGATTCAAAGTCTAGGTTTACATGGCTTCGGTTCTGCCTTTGACAGGTCAAGGGGTGAGGGGCAAGCCGGGTGTGTCTGAGCTTTCCCCAGTCCTGGTTAGCTAAATGTTAGACAGACTAGTTCACCTGAAGAAGGGGTTGTTTTTGCAGGATGGTGAAATCTACCACGAGCATGGCCTCACATCCAAGCCAGAGAGGCATCAGCATCCAGAACAGTGACTCAGACATCAGCCTCTTGATGTCCCCTGTGTCCACAGCAAGCAAAGATCTTGGGCACTCAGACCCCAGGCTGGTGAGTCCTGGGATTTCAGAATAAATGATGCTCCCATGTTCCAAGTCAGGTTCACTACAAAGAATGCTTCCATGAGAGGAAGCATATACAAAGAGGAAAATGGGCTTTGCCTAAGTTAGAGACCATTTCCTGTGACACCCCCCTGGGGGGGGGGGGGGTTAGCCCTGCAGACCTGGTACTATGTGACCCTCCCTTCAGTAGTGCACTTGAGGGGGCACCAAGGAGTCCCACTTTCCACAGTCCACACCTCTCAATCCTTCCAGGGGGTGGGTGCCATATCTGACTGGGGAGGATTGAGATTCTAGAGACTGGGCAGCTACACGAGGTTCTGAGAGAGTGCTAAAGACACTTTTAACACAAGCAAGTGTGTGAGTCAAAACAGAGGCTACTGGTGGCCACAGCCTGGCCTTCCAGGCACCTGACAAAATTTAATTAGTTCACAATGTAACAGGTCTGAAGCTTTAACATAAAACCCTGAATTTTGGGGTCTTCTCTTAAAAATGTAAAGCCCTCTGGAACTCATATTTTGCAGGATGTGAACCTCGAGATCGCTTTATTTACTGGAAAAACCTGTTTCTAGCTGTGATGTGGCTCAGCCCTACCACACATTCTTTTAATCCAAGAGCTTTCTGCTTATTGTAAACAGGATTAAATAAGAAACATGCATAGGTCAAGAGATACAGCATGCAACCAGTTGACAGGAGGAAAAAAGAGAGAGTTAAGAGGGAGTCAGGAGAATAGAGAGACCCACAGGAAGTAGAAGGGAGGGATATTCAGTTTGAGGTTTTTTGATTGAGATGGTGGAGGAGAAAGGGTGTCTTTTTCAGGGATGTTGGCTAAGGAGGAAGGTCAGCTGGGTGCTTTCTCTGCCTCTCTGAGCTAGCAGGCTTTCACCCCAGCATCTGGCTCCAGAGTCTTTATTGGTAAATCGAATTATTAAGATTTATATAGAAACAACACTCACATGTCCACATGGCAAGTCAGGAGACATTGAACAGATGTGTATCTTTGGGGTGACTGATTTGCCACCCTCTTGTCCACCCATTTCCCCAACACCAAAACCAGGTGTCAGCTAACATCTTAGCTTCCTTCAGCTAACAGTCCCCTCCCCGCTGCCTGGTGGGGGTTGTCTTCCCTGAGGAAGTCGGATGAGAGGGCTCTGTCTGACAGCACTGGGCTGGAGAGTGGGAGTGGGAGAAACTTTTCCTTGTTTAGCACACAAACCAAACACCCAGCCATGGTACATGGCTGGTACAAACCAAACCCTCTGGTACATGACCTTATTTCTATTTTTGGGTCAGTGCTGGGGCTAGTACTTAGGGCCTTATGGATGCCAGGCAGGTGCTCTACCATTAAGTCACACTCTCTAGACCCTCACCTTTAAGAAGGTACAAACATCAACTGTTGTACATGCTACTTTTTTGAACAGCTCCTAAACACCAGAAGTACTGGGAGCTAAAATAAGTTATCCAGCAAGCAGTGGCATAAATGGCAAACATGCTACCAGAGAAGGGCTGTTGTGCCCCAGCACGTGTGGGTGGCTGGGAAAGTAGCTGCCACGCATAGGCAGACAATGCAAGCTAGAAAGGGTAGACAGAGCACAGCAAAGGTCTGAGGAACAACATGGCAAGTGAATCAAGTTAAGCCCTACTAAGAATGGAGACTTGGCTGGGCAGTGGTGGCAGCCCACGCCTTTAATCCCAGCACTTAGGAGGCAGAGGCAGGCGGATATCTGAGTTCCAGGAGAGCCAGGGCTATACAGCAAAACCCTGTCTCGAGGGAAAAAAAAAGCCAACAACAAAAAAGGAAGACTTGTGGCTCGTCACTGGCACTGTTGACAGACACACGGGAAGGTTGTGGACTATACAGCCTATAGTATTGCATGGTACACAGACAGCGCACACATCACAGGCCCTTCAGCAATGCCCCAGCAATGCAGTCAAGGAGAGATTTAAATTTCTGCTTCACAGAGGACACATCTTCGTAGTAGGCTTCCACAGACCTTTCTGCTTACCTCGAAACATACCAAGACACGGTGAAAATGTGACACAGAGGCAAAGTGCTTAAGGACAGGGTACCTACTTCTAACTTGGGAAGCAGCCACAGTGTGGTATAAGGTGTGGCTTGAGAGGGAGACAGTGCTTGAATCTCCTGTTGTTTCCACGGAGGCCCTGAGCTCTGTGATGAGAGAGTATGTGTGTGGCTCAGGCAGGGTAGTGCCTGCACTGTCTGTACCACATCCTCAAAAGTGAGCCTGGGGACATGGTGGCCAGGATAACAGAGTCAGCACAGACCCGGGAAAGGCATGGCTATCACTGTACTGAGCTCCTATCTTTGTCTCACAGAGGTGTTAGGAGCCTGTGTTTCCCGAGGCAAAGGAAGACACTGAGGACATGCTAGACTGAGCAGATACTCTGCGCAGCTGATTGGCTAAATGACCCTTCCTGCTCTAAGACCAGAGTGACAAGAGAGTCTGGAAGCAGTAGCCATCCACTAGATCCACCCGAGAGATCACTCCTCCCTGCATGTGGCCACTCACCTCCAACATCCGGGACCTTCGGATAGTGATATGAGTGACGTGAGGGGAGGCAGAGCTAGTTTCCACAAGCCCCAGCTTCTCTTTCTCCTTGGTAACCATATTTCGGAACAGGAGAACTCGCTGAAATGAGCAAAGGTGGGGCCAGAAACAGGGTCAGCAACTAATATCAAAAACAAAACAAGACTCACTATACAAAATGACCAACGTTCAAGTCAACTGAGATGGGATGAGAACAGGATGAGCATGTGCTATAGTTCAGAGGTGTCCCCTGAGAACAGTGAGCATCCCCCAAAGAACCTCCGGGAACTAGAAATACAGCTAAACTTGCACCAAGACAGGTGTGTTTGAGAGAGGTGCTTGGCCACAGTTGGAGTCCAGCTAGAAGCAGTCCAATCAAGACCCATTTTCATGAAGTCAATACTGGTTTCAGAAGCCTAGAGGCACAGCCAATCACATGGGGTGGGGGTGGGGGGGTACAGCCAGTAACATGGGCTGGTTTTGATAAATGTGCCTGCTCTAAAGGAAATCAATATCAGGAATGTCAGATACAAAAACCATTAGAAGACATTTTTCCCATTGTCAGATATAAAAAAATGAGACAACAATATAAAGATCCCTGGCCTTTCTGTCTGTCTCCTGTGTCCTCAGACCTGCCATAGTAGGTTTTCTGTCACTGCTCAGAGAGAACCCTGCCTCCTCAGCTTCAGGATTCTGACAAACGCCTTTACTTTATCACGAGACGTGACTCAGGCTGGCCTCAAGCCATCTTCTTGGCTTCCCAAGCAGCCGGGAGCACGTACATGAGCCACTGAGGTCGGCAAAAGGCCTTTCAGGAAAGATGGAGAACACAGGCCCTTGCAGCACCACAGGTACAGGGACTACAGCGTCCCAGTGAGGTCGGCTGACTGGGCAAGGACACGTACCAGCTACAGCTGTGCTTTCAAAAGTGGAGCTGGGAGCGGAAGAGATGGCGTAGCTCTTAAGAGTATGTGTTGCTCTCATAGAGGACCCAGGTTGGTTCTCAGCACCCACAAGCTGCCCGAGTAAGACAGACCACCACTGTGTATGTGGATATGTGAGGCCCCGAAGACACTTCCAATCACATTGGAGAGAAGGCAGAAGCAGCGTATGGGGCAGAGGTCAACTCACATTCTTGTGAGGAACAACATGGGGGATGTGCTGCAGGATCAGCTGAGCCCTCTTTCGGTCCCTGTCAAGTTCCTGGAAGAGCACACCGGGCTTGAGATCCCTGCAGGAGAGATGCAGGCGTCATCAAACCAGGAAAGCCTTTTCTAGTGCAGGGCTGGCACCGCAGGCGTGTGGCCAAGTGTGGCGCCGCCCACTTTTGGAAGTCTTATGGGATACAGCCACACCTGCTCATTCCTAAGTGCAGAAGGAGTGTTTAGGGCAGAGGCTGTCTGGCCCACAGAGCCTTTTACGACAGAGTTTATGAGGCCCTGTTCTGGTGTCACAACTGCAACCATTTCCTGAGATCTGATAGGTCACTGATAGAAATGCTTGAGTTTGGTTGCTATCACAGGGCTCCCAGCCCACTTCACTTCCCCAAACCTGGAGGCAATTTTTACTCAGGTAATTCTGCTGATAAATCTATTAGGTCAGCCCAGAGACCCTCTCTTCCCAGCCTAGATGAGACAGTGACCTGGCTGTCACCATCACTTGACTGGAGTGACACTGGTAGAACAGAAACCACTGCTATGTGGCACACCCAGGCAGGTACTTCACAGCACAGCAGCCCTTTCCACAGACAAGCGGATGGGGCGCAAGGCAAGAGAAGGCTCATCGCCCTAAGTACAAATGCCAGGCAGCTGGGCACCTGTGCTGCAGTCATGGGAGAGGCCTCGGGCTTTGCCAGCCCTTCCCCACCCGGCTCACTTTCTCAGCCAGTGGTCCTCAGGAGCAAAGCGCCTCCGGCAGTCTCGCTCATACAGCACCATCAGCCACCCGTGGACAGACTGGAACAGCTCCAAGGTCTCGCCCTTGGCGTTCTCTGTGCAGTAAAGAGGAGGGGGCCAGAGCTGGAGAGCAGTGCTCAGCATGGCAGGCCTGAGCTCTGGCACTCTGCTTCAGTGGAACCACAGGTTCTCTGGGAGTGTTCTAAATGTCCCTAGAGCCTGGGTATCTTTCAGGGGACTCACTCATGCTGGATCCCAAGAATGCACCATCCAAAGGCCCCTTTTCCTCAAAGGAGCTTTGGACTGGACTAGCAGAAACATGTTAGAAAGCAGACTTGCCCACAGCAGGAACTGGCACAGGCTCCATCCCCATGGAAACCGAGTACTGATGTAAAGGACATTTCCAGGCAGAGCTCGTCACTAGTAACAACCTCACATGCACAGCCTGAAGGAGCTGGCAGAGAGACCTCTGCAGCCACACCACTATCTCATGAGCTCACCCAGCCATGTGAGAAGATGTGCATTCTCTACTGCCTTCAGTAAACAATGAAGCTGAGACGCAGGCAGCTGAGGGTACAGAGTGGCCTCCCAGGGTAGCACCAAAGAACACGGTCACCTCCGCCTTACCTGCAATCCCGTCCCAGATCATCTTAAACACGAAGGAATTGAGGAAAGAGGAGATGGTGACTAGCTCTTCCAGCTTGAATGAGATTTGTTCTTCATACACTTCAATGTCATCCAGGATGCTACATGGGGCAGAAAACTGTTCAGAATTTTCCATTGAGAAAAGGAAACAAATGAGACCTCACTGTCTTCTAGACAAAACAAACAAGGTGAAAAACGCACTGGCTTTTCTAGCTACATCCTGCACAGCTTGTAGACAACACAGTGTGATGTCTAAGACCTGCCTCAGAGAAGGCTACAGGAGGGGAGTTGCTGAGTGTTAGATGAAGCAAGTTGGCCATGAGCTGGAGATGGTTCCTCAGGGCTCACTCATCTTTCTCCTTCTGTTTACTTGACATTGTTCAGAGTAGGAAGACAGAACAATTAAGGGAAAACATTAAGCGCTACTCAGGGCTTTCTCAATGAGCTGCCTGGGGCACATTCTGTGCCTGAGTATAAAGGAGTCCTGAATCAGCCTGTGCTTACTGAGGAACACTGTGAAACTAGGCCCCACATCTAGGAGAGAGACTATGGCACTTGGTGCTTGTGAGTGAATGAAAGTTTGAAAGAACATATGAAAGAATGAACAGATAAATGAATGGATGAAGACGACATGGCTCAACTGAAAATTCCTGGAAACCTCTCCACATGCTTTAGGATGCAGCTCAGTCTTGGGTTAGCCTTGCCTCAGCCATTAGGTGTTTATCCTGTTCACTAAATCCCTTTTTCTAGGGCGCCAGTTGGCCAGCTACATATCCCTGTACCTTCTTGATATGAGATCTTCTAGTCTGAACGCTGCTGCCTGAGGTCCATTCTAAATCTTTGCAACGACCTTTGGGGAAAGTGCAAGGCAGACAGCAGCAAAAGCAGAAGGGAACACAAGGATTCCTGCGAATGTCCCAGGCTGGGCCTAACCAAGTTCTAAATAATGCCTCCTCCTAGTTACTGTTACGTGGTAGGTGATGCGACCTCCATTCCACCAATTGAGGAAACGGAGACTCAGCAAGCTCACCTCAGCTGTTTAGAGTCAGCTTGATAACTGGGCTGTAAGCACCGGGCACTGACTATCTCCTTTAACCCTTACCACATGCCTCAGAGGTGGGTGTGGGAACTACTTCATTTATAGACAAGGAAACTGGTGTCTCAGTAAACTGTCCCGAGTTTTACACCCTGGTATTTGAGTCTGGAGTTCTCCTGTAATCTACTTATCAGTGAATAAATGCTGACGTGTGGTTTGAACACATCTCCAGAGACCTCTAAGGGCCACAGCTGCTGCCCTGAAAGTATCTAGCAATTGCTGGACACCTGGCACCTGCTTTGTGAATGTTGTCTGTTTTTTTGGTGGGAGGTGTAAGGGGTTATGGGTTCTTGCTGTGCTGACCAGGTTGGGCTGGAATTTATGAACACAAGTGCTTTTTCTTGCTTCAACCTCCTGAGTAGCTGCAATTACAGGTGTGCACCACCACGCCCAGCTCTTGGCCAGTTCTTATGGTGACCCGCCACACAGGTGCAGTTACTTGCTTCCCCACATTGTTGATAACCCCGCTGAGTCCTAGCCAGGGCATTTAGCCCATATCAACCTACGTGATGAGGTGCCGTGAACAGTCACAGAACAGCATCAGCATGGCCAGGAGCTGCTTCGACTCTCCAGTGTCATTGTTCAAGCATTCCAAGAAGAGCTTTAACCCTCCGTGGGGCCCCAGCTCACAGATAAATGCCCATAGCTTGGGCAGCAGGTCATCAAGGTACGTAAGACCTGGAAAAGGAGAGAAACCCAAGCTTCAGGTGGGGACTCCAGCCGCTCTGCCATTTCTTCCTTTCCATTGGAAAAGAACACTGAAACCAGCATGCAAGAGAAGGTCCAGCAGAAAAACCTTTTCCACTCTAAAAGTCCCAACAGCAGGGGCAGCCAACACTGATGGATGCTCACAAGCCCAGACTACACTCTGCAAGCCTCCAGAGCAGCACCACCCGCAAAGCCAGTGCAGCTCTGCCTTATAAGAGGACCTGAAGCGCAGCAAGACTCGGTTACTTTCCCTATCCCATGGCTGGAGTCAGAGTCAGAGACAATCTGGGTCTATCTGACGCAGCAGCCATGTTTTAAACCAGCTAAGGTCAGAGGGTATTTCTAAGCTATGCATGCCAGGCGATCTATGTTGTTAAAAGCTCGAGACAAATTAAATCTGAGTTTAACTGAGCAAAGAGCGACTGCACACTGGCAGCACTCAGGACCAGATGTGGTTCAGAGCACAGCTTCCGGGTCAGGCAGGCAGCATGCACCCCAGCCTGGTACCTCCTTTATGGAACTAGTCTGGTCAGTGGCCACTCTGACTGCCTGAGGCTTGCTGCTATGGCTCGGATGCAGTCACTTGTTACAGGAGCACTCAAAAGCAGGTCAACTGTTTTCTTAGTCTTCATAAGAACAGGCCAGAGCCAGGAATTGGTGGCGCACGCCTTTAGTCCCAGCACTCAAGAGGCAGAGGCAGAGGCAGGTGAATCTCTGTGAGTTCAAGGCCATACTGGACTACAGAGTGAGTACCAGAACAGGCTCCAAAGCAATATAGAGAAACCCTGTCTTGGGAAAAAAAAAAAAAAAACAAAAAAAAACAAAGAAAACGAAAACCAGAATAGGCCAGTTTACTTGTACACTGTTACTACACTCAGTGCTGGCCGAAGAGCAGACACAGGAATGAAGGAATTGAATAGAAGAGAATTTATGACAGCAAGTGATAGGCCAGCTTGGTCTATGGGCAGACCCCTGCCTTGAGCTGTCTTGCAGGCTTATCTGCCCCTGAGATGCTATACGAAAAAAAACGAATGACTGCAGCAGAGACACTCCAAAATGAACCCTCGGGGCAAGCAACAGGTGCAATGGGAACATTCTAATCTACTTCCTGGGGGCTACAGGGCCTGGACACACAGGCTACAGAATGGCATACCTTCCACCAGTGCATGGGTGACTAGGAAAGCCTGGGCTGAGGCTCCAGTGTGCTGCAGACACAGCTAAGATGCCTCAGCAGGAGAGCAGCAGGATGTGCAGGGGACCTGATGCCTCAGCTGGCACCTACAGTACCAGACTGCCCTCCTCAGAGAACTGTGCGGCCCTCAGCAGCAGCAGCGCAAGGTGAGGCACTTGGCTCTTGGCCAACCAATGGCCCCTCCCACCTTTACCACGCTCACCCACTGTGGACTCTACCATTGCTGTGGACTGCTGGTCTCCCTGTCTCTATAGACTATAAGCCCGGGACAGAGACCCTGGCAGTCTCGTTTACCTCTGCATCCTCAGTGCCCGCACAGACAAGACTCTGACTATCTGGAGTGAATAAACAGGCATAAAAGACAGAGGCAGCAGCCATTGGAGATTTAAAAACCCACACGAAGCAGTCTGCATCTTCTTCTGCAGCAAACAGCTGCCGGGTTAGAAAGGACCATCTATGCTCACATCAATTCATACCACAAGGCCTGGGCTGCACCTGAGTGGAAAGCCCCTGACCCCAAGTTCTGTCCTTACAGAGAAGACTTTCTTGCTCAGCTAAAAGAAAGTGTGGGGCATAGCCACACGATGAGTATCATGCAGCCAATAAAAATGAGGTTTCTGAAGACCTGACAAGATAAATGGTTATGAGTGATGGGCAGGAAAGGGTAGATGAGATGTGTCTGAGTACACCTACACTGTGTGTGAACACACTGGGCACAGGTGATGATCATCTGGGACATGATGGGGCGAGTGTTGTTTACATTCTTCTTCCTGTCTTTTGTCTTTGTGTTCTACTCATAAAGGAGAACCTTAAGAAAGCTGTATTTTGTAATTAAAGAACTAGAAAGGGAGGAAAGAAGGCAGGGCTATGCTGAGACTGACTTGAGCTATTGGAGGCTCACCAATCTCTAAGGACAGCTCAAAAATGTCCATCTACAAAGTCTGTTTTCTGAGTCAAAGAAGCCAGGAAGAAAAGGTCAAGTTTTTCTAGGACAAACTGGGCACCAACTTTGGGAGTGGAAGCAATAGGCTCGGGCTGTCTGACCTGTGAGGATCTGCAGGCGGATCTGGGTGAGAGTCGTCAGCGAGGTCTGGTAGAGGACACAGATGCTGCAGACCTTCTGCACCTCAGCGGAGTCTACGCGTCGGCCCCCGACAGGCCTGAGGATGTTCCGGACTGAGGCCGACTTCTGAAATGCACGCTTGAGGAGACCTGGCACGGAGGGAAGAAGACGCACAGCAGAAGTTCAGCCAGCTGCCAGCTCCCACCTGTCGAGGAAGAGCATGGCAAGAACCCCAGTCATGGCAGGGGCGGCGGGGCTGCTGCATGGGCTCAATGCGTTCCTTTGGGATAAACTGGGGAAAAGTTAAACTGGTTTCTGGCGCAGCCCAGAGACCTATTCAGATCACCTCAGTGCTTGCCAGCATAAGGTAGGCATGTTCGGCTCTGACATGGCATTCTCTTACTGTATCAGCAAATTCCATGAAGACAGAGGGGAAATGGTAAGGACTGGTCAGAGGAGAGAGGCAGGGGGGGGGGCCAGGCACTGTGTCTGTGTTTTGGAGGGAGTGCCAAGGACACCCTCAGGCCCTGAATCCTGGCTAACTGGTATTTCACTTCTGCCTTTGGCTTCTCTGTTCACAGGCAGAGGAAGTGACACGCACAAAGCCCACACTCAACCACCACCCACCAGCGGCAGAACCATCACTTATCCCAGGTTAGTAGTGCAGGCAGAAATCACGGTCCTTAACTGTGACCACAGCTGTGACCAGAAGACTGTAGACTAAGAAACCTTTCTTTCTTTAGTGTCCGCCTCTACCCTCAGGGTGCTGCTCAGGTACCAGCCTGGTCTGTGCCTCAGTGGCTCCTTGGAGGAGTCCTATGTGGGAGATTTATAACTAAACTTAAAAAAAGCTTAAAGTCCCCTACAAAAAGGACTTTCTGCTCCTCCTTGGTAATAAGACAGAAACATCCACAAAACCCTTTTCCCTTTGACTGTCAAGAAGTTCACAGACAAGCTGAAGCTCAGAGACAGTGGAGCAACCCCGAGTGTGCTGACTGCCTTCTCCTATCTCACTGGCTCTCATTTCTATCCCATGACCGTTACTGTCCGGCTGAATGTGGACTTAAGCAGCCTGCAGATGGCAGTGGAAGGGGTGAGTGTCCCACAGGCAGGCAGGCACAGGAGCTGCCTTTAGGCTGGGTGTGGCTACTCACTCTTTACTGGGAGCACGTTCTGTGGGGAGGATGGCTGAGCAGGGGCTGGCTCGGGGTGCTCCAGCAGCTTCTTGCTGAGGATGTCACAGAAGAAAATTCGGATGAGGGGCACCCCCCATAGGAACTGCAGCTGTTTGGTGATCAGGTACATGGACTCGTTGAGGCTAGGACAGAGCAGGAGACAGGCGTGTCAGTGCTACCCACTGTCTGCCAGGGAGAGCATGCTCTCGTCGAGGGTGGCCTTCATACAGGGGACATAGTAAAAGACAGAGCTGAGAGGTCATGCGCCTGCAATCCCAGCATTCAGGAGGCTGAAGCTAGTTTGCATTGCATAATTAGCTTCTGCCTAAAATCGAACAAACAAGAAAATCCAAAGGAATTTCTTGTCAAAGGAAACAGAATGAAGAAACTCCAATGGATGGTTGGGTCTGCAAAGGCATCCAGTCTACATCTGCCTGTCACTCCAACCAACCTCCCATCCCTGAGGCAGCCATCTTGAAGCTGCCCCCACTTCCATGTCAGGCAAGAGCCAGCTCCTGCCAGCTGCTCTGCTCTCGTTCTCGGTCAGCCTCAAACCTAAGATGATTCCATACCTCCAGTGTCTCCCTGCCTCAGGGGCACCTCTCCACTGCAGGCTGTATTCCCAGCACCACCCCCACTCCTAGAATCCATCAAGACCCTGAGATGGCCCCCACCATCTTGTGGGAACAGCCACACCCCGTGGGCACATGCCAGGCCCTGGTGTGCAGTACTGAGACACTGAGACAACCCTATAGGGTGTGGAGTGCTCAGCAATGCACCATGAGCCCCCAGGCAACCTTCTCAGAAGTGTGACGTCATTCCCCACATATCAGATGAGGAAACGATGGGCGAAGCAAGTGGTCTATAGGCCTCTGGAGAAGAGCTTCAGTAAAGACAAGGCCTGTCCAGTACATGTGGGGTGTTGCACAGAAGTGGCCTTCCTGGGCAATGTCTGGATGGGTCTCAAGGATGTTACTCAGGTACAAAGGAATGCGGCAAACCTGACAGAGACCAGTGGGGCATCCCAGATGCCTGAGCCTGGTGCCATCCAAGGGCACACACTTCTGTCTGTGTGGCTGCCTATCTTCACCTCTGTTCTTCCACTCTTGGCTTTCTAATGGTTCTGAGTCTAAGACATTCACACTCCACCTTGTTGAAAGGCTAGGGGGACTCCTATTCCTTTAAATCATTTGCCTGCCCTGTCTCAGCATCTCTGAGGTATGGCTACCTTGTCAATCAATGAGAGTGATATGGGAGAAGAGAAAGTATCATGGACAAGGTTCATGATTTACTAATTAAAAAGAAGTAAAAGTCATATGATCTCATTTCTATACATAAAAAAAAACTGTCAATAAAGGACAAGGATAACAGGCGAATCACCCAGATCATTTGCATGAGAGGACTCCAGGATGTTTAATGTTCTCTTGGCTCTTGGGATGGAACCCAAGGCCTTGCACTTGCTGGGCAAGCCCTCCACCAGTGAGCCAACCCCCAGGTCATATCTGTTAGACAATAAATATGTATTATGTCTATAGCAAAACCAAATCATGAAAGCTGGAAAAAGGGGAGGAGGAAGGAGAAAGGTGGGAGAGAGGGAGGTGGGAGGAAAGAAGGACAGAATGCTCTTTCTCCGACATACCCATAGTCCACCGACTGGGAAAACCAGCCGAGCACAGGGTGCCAGTGGGTGAGATTGGACTTCTTCTGGGACACATATTTCTGGCAGTAGCACAGCATCTGCGTGAGCAAGCTCACAAACCCGTCTGTTTCTTCCTCTAACACCTTGGGGTTGAGGGAGCCCAAGTGGAGGATGTTGCCTAAGAAGAGAGAGGGGCTGAACGTGATGCCAGACAGATGCACTTGGGTCCAGCCCAAGACACAGGAGCTAGAACTAAGGCTAGCTTGACTGGTCCAAGGGATGCCAATCTCTAAGAACAGCTCTACCAGAGAATCGGGTCGTTGATCTGTGTTCAAATGATTCCACCCACAAACCCACCTACCACAGACACTGTAACACAGTATCACCACTCTGATCTCAGTCCCACCCAAGAGCTCCCTCCCCTTAGGGAAGAACTCTGCAGCCAACTCACCATACAGTGTCCACTTAGTCCTGTTCTACGTGTGATTCTACCTGTTCATCATCTATCTGTACTTTGGAGATTAGTCTGGTTTTATATTAACTCCTGCCAAGTATAACTAGTGCCCTTAACAAAACATGTAGGCTTCCCCAAAGGCCATAACCAACCCAAACCCAGCCTCCTAGACTCACCCATGAGACATAGCGTATGGCACCCTTCTAAACTTTCACAGGCATCAAGGCATCGGTCTCTGTCTCTTAGGAAGACGATGAATTTGCGAAGCATGTCATGGGATTCTAAAACACTGAGACGCTGAAAGCAATGGCAGATGGTTATTATGGAGCAGGGCAGGGCTTTCCCGAGAGGCAGGGCCCTGATAGCGCTCACTGCCCCCACTTAGGCAGAACACTGCTTTCAAGCAGCAAGGAGAAGGAAGATGACAGGAACCTGATTCTTTGGCTGCTAACAGGAAAGTGTTTACACCAGCTACTGGGAAAACTGGGGAAGGAGTGTGAATCAGCAGGGGACCTGTTTTGTTTTTGGAGTCTAGCAAACAAACCAGAGACATCTTTGGCATGCTCACCTCAGGGGCCACTGTGCTGAGATGAGTCACGAGAGCAGGTACCGACATGATGTGGATGACAAACGGTCGCATCAGATTGTCCGAGAACTGCGAAGCAACTACAGGGCTAGAAAGAGGGCAGATTAGCTGGGTAAGTGCAAATGACACAGGGGTGGGCGTGGGGGGGGGTCACACTGCACGGTTGGGAAAGGTCAGCTCTAGAGTAACTGATGTGAGAGAATGCTGGCACTATATTTGGGAAAAGGCAAGCTAAAACACTCCACGGGTAGGAGGGGCTCCTGATGAGGATCAAGAAAGCTTCCGGCACAGCCCACTCCTCAGCTGAGCAGTGCCACCCCAGTGTGTCCCTGGGGCACAACTCGCCATTACCTCATACTGTAAGCATGCAGTTTACTTTAGTATCTACAGCCTGACATTAACAATTAAAATGTACACACAAGATGCAAAATATAAAAGTACAAAGTAGGTCAGCAACATGCTTTTCTAAGTAACGTGACTGTGGGAAATGGCCACTTCTTTCTGTTTCTTTCTGTTTCCTGTCTTATCTGGATTCTTACAAGAAACATGCATTATTTCCATAAGAAGATAAATACTGGAGTAAGATAATGGCCCAAGTTAGGCATGGCAGTATACACAAGTGATCCAGCAAACGGAAGCTGAGGCAGAAGGATCATGCTCAAGGCCAGCCGGGGCTATACAAAAACCAAGGGCCAGGGATGGAGCCCAGGGTAGAGCACTCATCCAGCATACCAAGGCTCATGCACGGAAAACAAAACAAAACCACCAAAAAGATAATGACCCCCATATCTCCCTCCATATACAAAAATTAACTCAAAATAACTTTATAACTAAAATCAAATTTGTAGAAAGAAAACAGACATCTTTGAATCCTGGAGTTATACAATGATTTCTTAGATATGATACTAAGTGTAAGTACAAGGGAAAAGTAATTAATTGCACAACATCAAGGCCAGAATGGTGTGTGATCACACATCCCACCCAGAAGGCAGAAAGATGAGCACCAAGTGGAAGTGCCCGCTGACCGCATCATCTGTCAGCAGGCTTGCTGGAACAGACAGAACTCACTAACTCAGCAGTAAACAGCAACCCAATTTGAAGATAGCTGAACAAGCTACGGTAGGGCATGCCTGTAGTCCCACCATGGATGGCAGGGAAAGGAAGAGCAAGGGTTTGAGGCTAGCCTTGGCTACCTACTTTAACACTATGCTCAAACCACAAAACAAAACCAGGACAGGGAGATGACCAAAAGAACTCAACAGACATTTCTCCAAAGGAAACACACAAATGATTAGTAAACACTTGAAAACATAGCTGATACCAGCTGTCAGGGACTGCTAATGCCGCTGGCGTCTTACCGCAATGCCAGAGAGAAGGTCGCCGTTAACGTGCCCGTTGACAGACAGGGCCGGGATCTGGCCAGGCCTCGGGTCAGCAGTACCTGAAAACAACATTCAAGCTGTCAGCCTGAGTCTCGAGTCTCCATAGTCATTTGTCCTTGGCAGTGATGGTGCATACTTTAATCCCAGCACTCAGAGGCAGAGGCAGAAGAACCTCTGAGTTTGAGGCCAGCCTGGTCTACAAAGCAGGTTCCAGGTCAGCTTGGTAACACAGCAAACCCATCTCAAACAAAAGAAAAAGGAAGCATATAGGTAACGGGAACGCTTCCGATAGACGCTGCTTGAAAAGGGAGATACTGGGTGTGGAGGTCCCTTCTGCTTACCCCACCCCAAATATGCTGAAGCATTTTCATAACAAACAGCTAAGGAGAGGAGCATCTGCGAGTTGGGTGCAGTGCTCCCTGTAATCCTGGCTTCACAGGAGGCTGAGGCACTCAAGTCTGGGGGGTTGAGGTTGGCTTGGGGAGCACAGCAAATTCTCAAACACCGTTTTAAAAATCCATGTGAAACGTGACTTAAGCCACTGTTCATCATTCCAGCCAAAGACACTTTCTGCTGACACACCCCACCGTGCTGTGGAGACTGAATTATGAGGTGGCCCATCCCAGCATCAGGCAGAAGGAAGAGTCCCATCAGGGCTCTTCCTAAACCCTGAAAAGTCCTCAGCAGCTCAAGAGTAACATGCTCTTGAGTAACATGCCCACTGTCTGGCCTGAGAACTGGCATTGCATACTGAGTAGACAGAGGGCCATCTGAGGATGCTGAGTTAGAAACACACTGTCCCCCTCCACCAGGGAGCCGGAACAGTCAGTAGTCAAGACTCTGGATGACCTCTGACTCCATTAGCAACAACAAGCTAGGGGCTGAGTGCCACCATCCTCCCTACCAAAACCACGGTGACCTGAGTGAGGGGAGAGGAAGACACTGAGTACTCAACTCTCCCTGCAAGGGAGGACACAAGGCACATGGAAACCCACGGGAAAATCCAGCTCTGGTGCCACAGGGGCACGTTAGGGATGGCGCCACAGACCTGCAACACAGAGTAAAATCCACGCTGGTTCAGATGGCCCATTATATTTGCACAAATATGGTTCAGGGCTGGCCGAAGGCTCTCACCTAAATGAAGAAAACAGCCTGAGAAGGCAATCTCTTGCCACAATGTGAACAACTGAAGTAGGGCAGAGGACAAGACCTACAGAGGTTTGAACTCGAAATGTCCCCAGTGATTGGACACTGTCCCCTGCAGGTGGTGCTGCCCGGAAAGTGAGGAACTTAACCTTAAGGATCCTTAAACCTTAAAGAAGTAGAACTTTGCTGGAAGAAGCGCGTCACAGAGTATGGGGCGGGGTGGGGGGGGAGGCTTTGAGTTTTTATAGTCTCGCCCCACTCTCCGCCCCTCCTGCTTCCTGTGTACAGTTGGAAAGTGCCCACTCTAGTTCCCAGCTGCCAGGCCAGTCTCTAGCTCCTGTTACCAACCTTTCCCTGCCATGGTGGACTGTCCCCCTAGCCCCCCAACTGTCAGCCAAAGGGACCCCTTCTTCTCCCAGGTGCTTTTGTTAGTGTTCTAGCATAGCTACAGACAAGCACCTGACACAGGCCTCAGACCACAACCCCAGGGAAGGGGACGTTCTGCTTACATTCCTAGTGCCTTAGGGCAAACCAGAGCTCTGAGAGGCCCAGGTGTGGTTCAAGTGTTACTTCATGGGTGAATCATTTGACCTCCAGCCAAAAGGGACACTGCTGGCCCTACCTTCTCTCCCTATCAGGACACACATGCCCCTGCAGGGCTCAGAACTCAATAGTTTTAGGACCCTTCCCAAGTCCAGAGAAATGCACAAGGCAAAAAACACCTTCGTGCACACTCGAGTCACAGGATTTGCACAGAGCAGACATCTTCCTGTATTTTAGATCACCCACTGATAATTCATAGCACCTGGTATAACAAATGCTCTGGAGATAGCCGCTGCGGTGCACTGAGAACTAACGTCGAGAACAGTCTGGCTATTTCCTACAGGTGCAATTTTTTTTTTTTTTTTTATGTATTTCCAATCTGCAGCTGGTTGACTCCATGGCTGTGGAACCTGCTTCTGCTTGGTGCCCATCTGCTCACCAGACTTGAGCTCTCAAGGCCCGCTCACCACTGCACCTCCAGTGTCTTAACACAGTGTCTGGCATGTATGAGGCTGTTTCCTGAGTGAATGAGCCAAACACCATGTACAATTTCTAGGGAAGGAGCTAACTCAGAAGTAAAATTTTATGGCCAAAATCGTATTATTAAAAACATTTAGATTTATTTTTGTGTGTATGAGTGCTCTGCGCGCGCGCGCGAGTGCGCGTGTGCGCGTGTGCGCGTGTGCGCGTGTGCGCGTGTGCGCGTGTGCGCGTGTGCGCGTGTGCGCGTGTGCGCGTGTGCGCGTGTGCGCGTGTGCGCGTGTGCGCGTTGTGTGCGTGTGTGCGTGCGTGTGTGTGTGTGTGTGTGTGTGTGTCACATGTGCCTGGATCCCATGAAGCCTCTGGAAGAACAGTCGCTGCTGCTCCTAACTACTGAGCCACCTCTCTAGACCCTATATTTCTTTCTTTCTTTTTTTTTTTAAAAAAAAAGAAAAAAAAAAAAACAAGTAACATAAGAAGGCTTCAACAGAGTCCAACATTCACAGGCAGGGGTGCTTGGGAGTTAGAAAGGAGAGCAGGGAGCAATGCCATTATACAGAAAAATTCAGAGGCAGGAAGGGTCTCCACACATGCTAACAAACACCGGACACTGTGAAACAGCCCAGTGGGAAGTGCCAAGCACAGGGGCTCAGGCTTCAAGCCTCCTGAGGTTGTGTGGCCAGGGTGCTTCTCATGAACTGGAGGTGCCCCCCCTCTGTGGAAATGCTGGTTGGGAAAGATTTCTGAAGTGGATCCACACACCTTTTCCCCGGAGAATCTTCCATGTTGAAGTGTCTGTGAAGGTGACAAGCATGGTGAGGTGTAGTGTGATGAGCCTGGAGTCTTGTAAGATTTCCGGCTGCAAATGATAGAGTAATGGAGTGAGATTAATCCTCACGCTCATGATTCCACTCCACGGAGCACTGTGCACTGGATTCCACACAATATATTCTAGACTGTCAGTGCTTAAGCCCGGGATCAAATGCTGCCGGGAATGGAGAACTGCGCATTCCTGGGAAACAGAATCCCAGGCTGCCTCACTCTGGGCCTACAGCTGACTGTATGCTGGGACAGGGCAGTGACGGAGGACAGCTGCAACTCAGACCAACAGGAACTAGGGGCTACAACTTTTGGCCTCACTATCTACTGGCTGTATGATCTTGGAGAAGTTTCTGAACCCCTCTGTGCTGTGGTTTCCTTAGCTGTTGACTAGGGACAGCAGCCTTACTTTCTTCACGGGGCTTTGTGAGGAATGATGGCTTCCTGCACACAGAGAACCAAGAACAGTGGTCAGGGTGTGGGTGTGAGGGTTTGGTTTACCTTGAGCTGTTCAAGAAGCTCACAGCAGTACCATAGGATGCTTTTGATCTGCTTAATCCACAGCAGAGTAAGGTCCTTGGAAAGAGCCAGGGACACGTACCATACCTAGACGCAGCAAGAAGAGCAGAGTGTGGGCAGTTTCAGGGCCAACTCACAAGGGTCTATCAAGGCAGTAAGACTGAGTGTCTGAGTAAGGGAAAGCAGTATGAACTTCAACATGAGCCCCAGAGATCAGAGCCTAGAAAAAGGCAGTGACTATCTTGAATAAGAGGCAGGAGCAAAACAGCTTCACAGATGAGGATCAAGGCATCGTCCATCTACCCAACACTCAAGTGAGTATCTGTGTGATCCACTGAGCAGGACCTTTCAGACCTTGTAAGCAAGCCCTCCAGGACTCACAGGAGATGCTCACCCACTCACCTTTGGCTCATTCTCTGCATCCATGCTGCTCAGGATGCTACGGCACAACTTCTCCAGTCTCTGCAGGGGCAGAAAAGCAGATTACGAAGTTTCCAAACTAATCAAAACACGAGAAAGAGGGAGTACATGTTTGGTGGGCACCTGAAACATGCAGGCAACATGTCAGGTGGTTCATACATACACTCTCATACTCAATTCCTTCTTAGAGACATTGACACCAAACACAAGGGGACAGGCAGGTTTCACACTGGTGGCTCACAGAACTCACAAGCCCTAGAGATGGGATTTTTTTGTTTTTGTTTTTGTTGTTTTTGGTTTTTGTTTGTTTGTTTGTTTGTTTTTTAAGGCATGGTTTCTCTGTATAGCCCTGGCTGTTCTCAAACTCAGATCCACCTGCCTCTGCCTCCTGAGTGCTGGGATAAAAGGCATGTGTCAACATGGCCTAGCAAAATGTGTTTTTTAAATTAGGGTGTTTCACATAAAAACCCAGAATGGTACCTCTTTTGGTCTCTCTGTGGCTTAGGCTGGCCTCCAACTCACAGCAATCTTCCCACCTTGGCCTCCCAATGGCTACCATTCCTAGCCATGGCACTACTTTTGGAAAACTGAGATTGGACTTTGGCAGCCCAGCAGCCATCTTTCTAACCTGTGCCCTACACTTGGCACTTCTGGGAACACCAAGCACTGATCTCTGCCTCACAGCCATTAGCCAAAAACTCTTTAGCCATCACCTTTACCCTAATATGCAAATCAAGAAAAAGTAGAAACTGGAAAAACCGCTTACATTATTCTATCCCTGCATCTGCACCTGAAGAGGACACATGCTCTCTCCCCCCCCCCCACCCCCCCACCCCCCATGATGGGGTCCCCTCCCTCAGCCTGCAAGTCCTCATCTCTGTGATCATTTGTTCTCTCCTCTCTGCTGGGCTAGGAGCTCCACAAGGGAGCCTACCTATCTGCTTTCCCTTTGGGTCTCCCCAGTAGTACCCTGAGTGTGATCACAAGCACCTACTGCTTCCCTCAGCTGTCTTCCAGGCCAGCTGTACTAATGTCACAGCAGCAAAAATGCCTCGGAAGCAAAGTGGTTAAGTTTTATGATGTAAATAATAAAAAACAAGATGCTAGCATTTAATCTTAATCAGAATATCCAGCATAACTCAAGCCTCTAGTACCTCTTTGGAAGCCCAGAGCCCCTGGCCCCTCTAGCCAGGGCACAGAGCATACCCCCACTGCTTTCTCAGGCCCCACCACTCCTGTTTCCTACTGTGCTCTGTCCCTAGCCTCTTCACCCATGTCCCTCAGCTGCCTGATTCTTATGCACACTTGAGGGCAGTTCCTGTGTGTACAGTTAATGTGCAGAGACCTCTAGAAGCACAGCTGAATCTCTGTGGGCAGCCATGACCTGTGCCTCATGCAGAAGCCTAAGGACAAGGAAGTCCATGCTTATCAAACACCAGGTCCTGGAGCAGGGAAAGAATCATGTATGTGACTGTCAGGTGTGCTAGTTTGAAAGTAACCGGCCCCACTCTCATAGGGCGGGGCACTATTAGGAGGTGTGGTCTTGATGGGGGAAGTGAGTCACTGTGGAACAGGCTTTGGGGTCTCTTTTGCTCAAGCTTCCCTCAGTGTGACAGTCAGTTGACTTTCTACTGCCATCTGGTCAAGATGTAACCAGTATCATGTCCACCTGCACACCACCATGCTCCCTATCAAGATGATAAAGGACTAAACCTCTGAAATTATAACCAAGCTGCCCCAATTAAATGTTTTCTTTATAAGAGTTGCCATGGCCATGGTGTCTCTTCATCTCTTCACAGCAACAGAAACCCCTAACTAAGACAGTGCTTACCTCATGGTCCTCTTTAGTTTTGTATATGAACAGCAGCTTCCTGGCAATCTTAAAAATACAAAGTGCACTTCTTTTACTGGACCCAGAGTCATCCCTTTTGAAAAACTCATCAATCTCTATCCTAGATAGGGAAGGGTCAAAATAAAACAAAACAAAACAGAAGACATCCTTAATTCACTTGCTCATCAGGAAGGCTTCTCAGCACCATGAGGGAAAACTCATTCACTTGCACGGCAATGCAGCGGGAGGAAAACATGCGTGCTGCGGTATTGCCCTCACCTGATGTCTCTGTGAAGTCGCCTCCGGCAGAGAAAACTACGGACAAGAGCCTGAATGATCACAGCTGAGCGCTCCCGCTCCTTCTGCCCCAGCCTTTCTTCTCGTGCCTGCCTTGCTCTGTCAATGAACCATGCTCTGGATGTCTGAGATACAGTGAACATGTTTGCAAACCGACACGAACCCTACGAGGATGAGAGAGGAGCTGGTGGAGGTCACCTGTGGACACACAGTAGGGACTCGGGTGCAAAGGGCTGACGCCCCAAGTCTCATCTTCCTGCCACTCCTGTCGCACCACCCACGGAGACTAGAGAATCAAGGCTGTGCTAAGTGATTACATTTGCTTAGAGGAAAGCGCAGGCAGGGTGTGTGTAGAGCAGAGGTGGGCTCCCGGCAAGTTTAAAGTGTACAAAGCATGAGTCATGCCCATCCGAAACAGCCATGCATCAAAGGTTCCCAGGCATCTGCCCTCTCTGCCACATTCCCCACACTTAGAAGGCAGCACAACAGCCACTTTCCATATGGGCAGACTTGAAGGAACCAATTATTATGTTGTCATCACTTTAGTCACTCATTCACACAACAAAATGTTTACTGGTGCCCAGCAACACATGAAAAAAAGGTTTAAAAAAAGATCATTATTTTAAAATATTTCATTATATTTTATCTGAGAAAGAATGAATGAGCAGATATGTATGTGTATATGCATATACCAGTGCCAGTGCATGCCAGTCGTGCCCGTGTGAAGACCAGAGGTCAAGGTTTGGGACTTGGTTCTCTCATTCTACCATGAGTCCTGCAGATGGAACTCAGACTGCCAGGCTGCATTGGCCTGCTGTGCCAATCTGCTGTCAGTTTTTAAAAGTTATCATTGCACATGTGGGTGTGTGGTGTGTTTGTGTGGGCAAGCGTGTCATTGTGCATGTGTAGAGATCAGAAAACAATATGAGGAGTCAATTTTCTTTACACAGGTTTTGGAATTTGAAAACAGGCAGTCAGTCAGATCTGCTGGGCAAGCATCTCTACCCCAGAGCCGCCTGCACCTGTACCCCAGAGCCGCCTGCACCTGAACCCCAGAGCCACCTGCACCTGAACCCCAGAGCCGCCTGCACCTGAACCCCTGGTCCATTTGCACTTCTACCCCATCCATCTGCCCCTCTACCCGAGCCACCTCCGCAAAGCAAGGTCTTTCTTTACAAACTACATTTATTGAGGCCGAAAAGATGTTTCATGGGTTAAGAGTACTTGCTGCTCTTGCAGAAGACCCAGAGAAAGTTTCCAGCAGCCACATGGTAGCTCACAATCTACCTGTAAATCTAGTTACAGAGATCTGATGCCTTCTTCTAGCCGTGCAGGTACCGCACACTCATGACGCACATACACGCATTCAGGCAGAACACTCGGAGACATAACATGATAAATCATAAAATAAAACACATGTAAAAATTACATTTTCATTTTGTGTGTGTGTGCACATGAGTATCTGAGTGAGTATGTACACAGATGGGATGTGTGTGAGGTCAGAGAACAACATGCAGGAGCCAGCAATCTCCTTCCACCACATAGATTCCTGGGAGCAAGCTCAAACGTCAGGCTGGTCAACAGGCACCTTTGCAACCACTGAGCCATCCTGCCAGCCTCTGAGGTCTTCTTTAAGAAGTCATGGTTTTTTTGCTTGTGTGTGTTGTGTGTTTCGTGTGAATGGACATGCGTGTGTGCACATGCACATGGAGGGCTCACGTCTTCTTCCTCCACTACTCTTCATTTTATCTATTAAAGTAGGGTTTCTCAGCCGAGCCCACTGCTCCTGAATCAGATGACTACCTATTCTGAAGTGGCCTCGGGGACCCCATTTCTGCCTCTGAAGTGCTGAGATTACAGCGAGGCCACACCTGCCAAGCACAGGTGGGTTCCGGGGACCTGAACTCTGGACCTCATGTTTGCATGGCAAGGGCTTTTTCCACCAACCATGTTTCCCGTAGCCTCCATGACAGTCCATTTAATCTGGACAGGGGACATTACACATCACACACTCGGCAGCCAGGCCACACAGGGGATTTGCTCCCCTTCAGTGACAGGTGCTGTGCAGGGCAGAGGTGAACAGTGAACAGTACAGAATCACCAGTAATTGTTTTTTTGCCAAGCGGGTGGCTTTGGCTGACAGCCAAACATATGCAGCACTGAACCATTGAGCCTCCTAACTGGGAGTTTCTTTAGCTATCGCAAAACATGGCATCATCAGCCCAGCTGACCAAAACACTAACATGAATCATGCAGAAATGCAGAGTTTGGGAAAGCATCTTTCACTCAAAGCAGCAGCCACTCTGAAACACATCTAGATTCCTGTCACATGAATATATCCAGGGACCTCTAGTCCCTTCCCCACCTGACCCACATCTGTCAAACGACACCAGGGATTTGCCAACAGACTAGGCTATCATCAGCAATACTCAAGGAAACGTTGTTTTGTGCAGGCTAGTCAAACACATTATCACCAAGTTCCACTACCAGCTAGTCCCATGAGCAACTCCTGAAACAGACCAGCATAGTCTGTTAACCACAGGGAAAGGTGGCCATGCTCCTAACTGTCCCCTCTTCAGCCAGGTCTGGAAAGCTCACCTGAGGACCTGCCTGTACAACGGAGATGCCAGGTGACCATCAGTGACCTTGCACAGCTCTGGCTTCAGAGGAGTTGGTTTTCTGGCATAAGAAAAATTCAGAATTAGTACTGTTTTGGGGGTGTGGCATCCCAATGTTACTGAGTGTAAGTAATATACTGTGATTGGTTTTAAAAACCATCTAGGGGCTGAAGAGATGGCTCAGCAGTTAAGAGCATTGGCTGCTCTTCCAGAGGACCTGGGTTCAATTCCCAACACCCACATGGCAGCTCAAGGCTTCTGTTACTCCAGTTCCAGAGGATCCAACACCCTCATGTAGACATACATTCAGGCAAAGCACCAATGCACATAAAACTAAATCATTAAAACCCTCTAAATCCTCTTTAGTTAGAGTATTCTCTTAATGTGACCCTACTTCAAAAGTAACTCCAAGTGGTGATACAATGTTAAAAGACAATTGCCCTTCACATTATTTCAATGCTCTGGAAAAGGGTTTATGACTTAGAAGTGAACAAATGGCTGCCTGTGAGAAAACAGGATTCCAGTTCTCAGTGAAAAGGCAAAGTGAATGTGCACACACAGAGACCACACCTCAGTGGATGAGGGTTGAGATCTCAGATCTGTTCTCTAGCATGGTAAAAGTGAAGGACCAAAAAATAATAATAATAAAGTTAAAAAAAATCAAAGTGGCCATTCTGAGTAGTGGGATTATGAGGAGCCTCTCCTTCTCACAGGGAGGAGCACATGGGCCTGAGTCATCCAGAGCTAGCACAAACACCCTCCTCCCCCAGCTCTGTCAACCCTGCTGGCAGGGTCTCAGAATCTTCTGTCTTTGATAATCAGCTTTGATACCTGTCATGAGAATGGATACCCATATATCATGGTTCTACCAAGCTGCTAACAGAGCAGTTACAAAGCCTGGGGTGTGTCACCTTTACAGACATAAAAAAAGGGTTTTCTCTTTCTGACATTATTTTTGATTTTGTCTGTCTGTGAGGATGTGAGGGCAGTGTCCAGGAGATCCCCTAGAACTGGAGATCCAGTAGTTGTGAGCCATGAGATGTGGGAACAGAAACTGAGCAAGTGCTTTTAACCACTGATTTCTCCCCAGCCTATTTATCATCATCATCATCATCATCATCATCATCATCATCATCATCATTTAATCTTCCCATCTGCACCATTCTGTTAAGCTGTTTCCCTGTCCTCGAATGAACTAAAAGTTTGCCAGGCACAGCACATGGGACCATGAACCCCTGGGCCTATTGTTTAACCTGTGAACAGTCAAGCTCCAGAGAGGAGCAAGCAGGGCTCAAGGCATGACTACAATACCAAGTCCTCTCCTTAAGATGGCACTGCTAACCGGGCGATGGTGGTACACGCCTTTAATCCTAGTACTCAGGAGGCAGCAACAGGAAGATTTCTGCGAGTTCCAGGCTAGCCTGGTCTACAGAGCAAGTTCCAGCGCAGGCTCCAAAGCTACAGAGAAACCCTGTCTCGAAAAACCAGAAAAAAAAAGGGGGGGTGGTAGAAAAAAGATGACACTACTACTGGCTTCAGAGATGGGTCAGTGGCTATGAGCACTGGCCCTTCTTGCCAAGAACCAGGATCACTTTCTAGCACCCACAGTTCTAGAAGGTCCAATGCCCTCTTTGGGCCATGGACATGCACATACATACACACAAGCAAAACACTCACACACCCAAAATAACAAAAAAAAATATTTTTTTTTAAAAAATAAAGAAATCCCAAGTAGCAGGCAGGACAGGGGATCAGGAGCGGGAGCAAATGACTGTGCCCAGCATCTGTGATCAATTCTTGCCCCCAGCCCCTTAGTCTGAACTATATAATTAGTAAGTGGCCAAGCTTTTGGTACAAACAGACAAGATCCGTACTCTGCATTACCTCTATATTCCCAGGCAACCTGCTTAAAACCCTTCTAGATGAGACTAATTTCAAGGAGAGCAACAAAAGCACACAAGAGTCCGGACTGTGAAGCAAAATATACACTACTAATTTTCTTTTATGGTGGAAAAAGCTAGGTTTCCAGGTTTAATGGCCACCACTATAAAGGACAGGTCACATAACAGATACTAGACAGATATGTAACTAGTCCTTCCTTTATATCAGCTCTATCCCATTAGGCTACAATATCCAATTTTAAAGGCTCAAGAATAGGCAATGGGTCTTAAAGCATAAGATCAAGAATAGGCAACAGGTCTTAAATAATCCAAGGTATGGCTCACAGAAACCTACAGCGAAATGCAGAGAGGGCATGTAACTTGCCGGTGTCCTCTGAGTTCCTGAATTTGAACCCCAAAGGAATTACCCACTGGCAAGTCAGAAAGACAAGATTCAGGATTCCTCCACTCACAGAATGGCACAACAAAGAGAAGTTGAGAATGGCAGGCTCCCCTGTGGCTAGGCTGAAGTCAAAATATGGTCAAGTTTTTCTGTATTAAGGGCTGTCAGAAACCACACTAAAAGGTATTATAAAATAACCTCTGTGAAACAATCTAAGTACTCCGTTTACAAAAGAGGAAACCGAGGGTCAGAGACGTGACTCGATTTACCCAAGGTCACACAGCGAGCGCACAGAACTCGAATTCCACTTCGGGTGACTCCTAAGGCCCAACGCCTTTCATATGGCAGCAACATCAACAACGACAATAACAAGTCCGTCTCGCCCTTAATTAGTTGGCTATTAAGGCCAGTTGCCTCGAACAAAAAACCAACGGAAAGGGGCCACGGAGAGACCCCTGGAGCCAGAAAGTCAGCCTCCCCCTCCGCCTTCTCTAAGCCAAGACTCGGCCCCCGGACAACCTCCCTCAGCCCTTGATGCCACCACCCGGAGAATCGACCATCCTGTTCCCACTCGCTACCCGCAGGCCGGAGATCTTTATCCGTTCGAGGGCCCCACGCTCGGGGTCCGGGCCGCAGCTGCCCC